ACAGAACAGACACCAACCAGAAAACATTAGTTGCAAACACAGATGGTGCAAGAGAGAACAGAGTAATTCTCTTCTACAGAAATTCCATTCACTAGAAAGTTAAATCATGCTATGTTACCCATGTAAGAGATATTAATCAGAGGATGCTAGGACCAGAATCACGGCAATGTGAACATTTTACTGATGGTGGGCATCAGTTTAATTGAGGACAAAGTTAAATTTAAGTTGCCTTTGTCAACATCATGTTTTCACATTGGAATTAACATGTCTCTTGTAATTTTGTTCTAACCAGATTAACTTCTCAGGAAGGATGAATGCAAGCAAATCATTTTGGCACCTGGCTGCAAGTTTGTGTTGGCTCTAAATAAACAGAGAATTCAGCATCTCTTTTATGACATTTGTTCCTGCCCAGGCCAAGTTTAGAAGATGAATGGCTCAGAAGAAATGGCTTATATGGTTTTATCTATCTTCACATTGCAAAATCAGCTGCCACTTTGAAAACTATTTCATGACTTAGCCTGAACTTTCACCCTGTTTTCTATAAAATAAATATCCAGTCACTGCTCTAGTTTTTGTGGTTATAACAAAAGAGTTCAAAACAGCACAAAAGGGGATCAAGCTGCATAGACCACAACAACAGAACTCCCAGCGGCAACGGAAATGTGTGTAGGTGCCCCAGTTACATGCATATTCTTTAAAATTCTCCAAATTGTTCCCATGTGGAGCTTTAAAAACATACACCTCAGCCATGTGAGACTGATCTTCCAATCTCCAGTGAAAGCAGTCAACATCTGGCCTGAACAGCACAACAGTTTTAGGAATTTCTGCTTCAAGTACAAATCTCCACCCCCTCTTCGTACCTGTCTGTCCAGGCTTGTAGATGGGTTTGTCTGTCTGGACAAAGACCAAACTCTCAGAATTCTTGACCAGCACTGACTTGCGGCTTCTGAACTGCAGCGTCTCTCCCTTCACCGTCACAGTAATAAATGTGACTGTTGACTGGCTCTTTGATTTTGGAATCTGGAGAATTGTAAGAAGGCAACTGAGTTATGGACTACTTGTAAAGGCCTCTTGAACAGGCTTTCCTAAAATAATAGATCTAATGTCATTGTGACAGACCCGGCACAGAGATGAAGGGACTGGAATCAGGAACAAGAGACTGATCTTTTCTTGTACTATATTCCTCTACTTTCCTATTACTATGCAGTGATCATGCAAGTATTATGCAGTAAAGGAATTCAACTCTGCAACTAATTTTTAAGAAGTCCTTCCTGCATTGATGAAAATCTGTCTCTTCCATCTTGACATTCACAGAGGAATGGAGTAATCCCCCTCTTCTTTCAGGTAATATCTCTAATCTTTGCATAACATTTCCTTTTTCAAACCAGCCATACCAGATCTCCATACATCTCAATCTTTCTCCAAGTGACAAAATAGCAGTCTTCAACATGTGCATGACATAGATGTCAACTGTTAAGTATTCTGAGAACCAGTTCTTCAGCCTTCAGGCCAAAGATATAATCTGTATAGTGAGCCAGGTTACCAGCATTCCCAGTTGCCCAGGACTGTTGCTTTAGACTTCGGAACTACCAATTACATAAGTCACTCCAAAAATAATGCCTCCTATTTATTTCCATGGAAACTAAAGCAGATCTATAAAGCACAATAATACTACTTGGTAGAGCATATTCTCAGCTACAAAACAATATTTTTTAACACATTTGCCAAATCTACTTTTCTCCAGGCCTCTCCTCTTACTGTCCTAAACAGCGGCAGGCTTTCCGGGATTCAGCATTTCTCATTTAGATATCTTTGCTAAGGAGAGCTCAGCAGTAACAGTGTTTTGAGGATAGACATGAGTATACCTGTGGCCAAGAGGAAAGTGAATACCTGTTCAGAGTTACTCTGTTTGTTACTACTCAGAGCCGCTAGAGTTTATCCTGCATGGATTAAGATACTTACAGTGAAAGGAATGCAGGTAAACAAATCGTTCTCCGACACCACATCATCAATCAAGCTCCTGTTTTCCCCTTGATACTCAATTGCAGCATTCAGCGACACAGATTCATTCAGGTGAGTCAGCTGAACACAGATTTTCTCAGGGGAATCAGTGTGTATCAGAAACGGTAGAAGCACCATGTACTGCCTGGAAAGAGGAGGGGAAGATTAGGTGAGATGTGCAGGAGCACGTAGCTGGAGCTGTACAGAAAGAGCAAATAAACCAGTCTGACTTCACCATACAGGAAAAGGATTTCCATCATGTCTGCTAACAGCAGGGAAAAGCAGAGAGGCTGCTGTTGAAAGTAAAATACCACAGAAAATTCTCAATGCGAATGTCTGGAAGGGATATTTTTTCCAAACTTTAGCACAACAGAAGCACTCGATTCTGAGATTATGAATGGTGTGGTAAAAAACAAAAAGTCAATTGTCACCTTTGCCAGACAATATTTGTCACTCCTTCATACCAAAAGGGCAAAAGAGAGTAAGGAAAGAACGCAGTAAGATACAGTCTGCTAGCTGTCTGTTAGTACCACACAGATCTAACAGCCACAGTTCTACAGTGACATATAACCCTGGCTGAGAAGGAAATTCTCATTCCTTTGGCTGAACTGAAAAATATGAATTAAGAAATAAAACCATTTATGGTCATGCCAGATTTGTCATTTGCTTTTTTTTTTTTTTTCCATGTTATTAATCAAAAAACCCACTCACATCTCCCAGGCATTTCAACCAAGGAGTAAGGTAATAAATGAAAGAAATGTTTGTCTTTTCAAAAACAATCTCTGAAGAAAAAAATGAGTGTGTAAACGGTTATAAAAAGTTGTCTTTTAAGTAAATAATCAATTTGGTGCAAGAAATTTTGCTAAAATGTTGTCAGCTCTGTGAAAAAGCAAAAGCTCTTTCTGCTCTCCTTCTTTTTGTTTTATTTGTTTATTTAGGCTGCAGTTTTATTGATATCTCAATTGCACAGACTCTCCTTAGTCCCTCAAAAGCACCAGAGCTGCTGTTTGCAGAAGACATTTTACCCAGCCCTTGTGTCTTTGTTCCAAGGTAAAAGAAGGTAGTTGAAAGATGAAAGACAAAGAAACAGAGAAATAAACCCAGGTCTCCAGCCTGCCTAAAGTCTCCCCCATGTAGCTTACGGTTCTGTGATGAGTGAAGCATCTCCAAGGAGGAAGAAGAGGAGAATGAAGATGTTTAATTTGCTGGACCCATCTTTCCCCATGGTGCAGAATTGGCTGTGGTTGGGTAAAATATCCACCCAGCCTAGTCCAGTGGTGCTTGTACTGCTACTCTGTCCCCGAGTCAACCCTTTATACTCTGCTGCAAACAGTCCAAGCGCTGGAGGAGATAAGGACTAGGGTCCAGGCACCATCCAGAAATGGGAGAGGCTGCAAGGAGGAGCTCTTTGAATCCAGGCAGAAGTCCAGATGCAAAAGGAAAGAGGGAGGGGAGGATGCCTGCAGGATAGAGCTGTCTCTCTTTGGGGCAGGGCAGCAAGAAATGGAGGAGCAAGAGTGGTAGCTAAAGCAAAGAAGGGTTAACAGCAGAGGGTAGTAAAAAGACCTCAATTTACAGCAAGACTCCTTGTGTAGGGCTGCACCCATCTCTGATCCTGGAGGCTGCTGGAGGAGAGATTATTTCCTTTCAGCTGGGAGAAGAATGAGTGAGTGTTTGGGAAGCAAGAGTGAGTTTGCCAGTTATTACAAGCAGGACAAATATGTCAGTCTTACAGATCTGAAATCAGGGAATGCAAACTGTGAAAACGTTACTCCTCTACCCACTCTGCTCTCTTGTGCAGTCCATTCCTAGTCTCACAATAGCTAATGCCAGGAAAAGGGGCCAGAGAGCAGCTGGACAATCAAACCTGGGATAGCCTGACCTTCACCTGACAGAAACACGGACAGTAACATGAGGAGAAGCTGCCAAAAGGTCAACCCAAGTAACAGCATGTAACACATTAACCATTCCCTGGAACAGAACTTGCTCACATGCTGCAGAACATATGCAGCCTGGGTCATAGTTTTTGTTCCAGGTCAAGTTATTGGGATATATAGATCAAATTATTGCTTTTTGATGGAGTCCTTCTTGGTTTCAATACTCGAAAATCCATGTATAGCAGTGTGATGGGTAATGTAACTAGAGGGAAATTTCTTTTTGACAATTGCCTTTATTGTAGTTACCTTGGTCTGCAGCAGGAAGATCAATAGCTCTGGTAATTATTACCCTTGCAAGTGGCTGGATGTATGCGTCTTTCTCATAGTCCTAACTCAAACTCCAAAGAATAGACATCTGTGTTACAGAATGTAAAACATAATTTGGGCATTAAAAAAGCCTAGGATAAAATGATTACCTGTCTGTCCTTCCCTCCTCCTACTACCATCGTAAGTTTCTTAAGCTCAGAAAGTTTGGAGTTAAGAAATCCAAGTGCAATTACACAACAACCCTTCGTTAGAGACCTCATTCTGTCCCGTAGTGACCTTGATGGGAAAGAAAAGAGAATAGTTTTGCATGTCTGAGTTCCTTGGGGAATTCACTAAAGAAACACAGCCCAAGATTGTGCTCTGCCTTCTCTATATGGTACCTTAATGTTGTTCTGTCCGCCCAGAAAAAATGTAACCCAGATTTGCCTCACTCGCATAGAAGAGGGTTTGTACATGGGATGGTCAAAGCCTTTTTGTTTACATTAGTTTGAACTGACTGACTGGTTACAGGAAAGAGGAGTAGGATTGCACACAGCAGGAGAAGCCAAAGCTGCACTTTTTAGAAAATAGTCTCACACTGATCAAAAACCATGATCTTTATGACTAAAGATCCTCCTTGTTCCTGAGAGCACTCTGTAGCCAAAATCTGAGAAGTGTTTACTGTCAGTTAAGGGAGCAGGTTTGTAAAGGCTTGAAAATTCCAGTAGGTACCAGTGAACACATGCAGATACCAACCCACCTTTCAAAATTTGCCCTCAAGCTGCTTGGCCTCCATAATAGTCCCAATAGCATCTTTGGTTCTGCCAGACTAATTGCTAGGGTTTATGCATGACCAATGTGTTTCACTTTTTTATAGATGATAGCATAGACAAGGCAGTGACAATCAGCTTTCCCTCAATCTCTTTTTATTTCCATCTGCTGAGGGTATAGCTGAGAACATCAGTAGGCTTTCTAGAGTTTTTTGGCTAACTTTTAAAAGGTTATCTCTGAGGTCCTCAAGGAAACACCGTGGAGGTGTTCAAGGCCATGCAATCTGATCTAGCAATTGGCAATTCTGCCTGTGGCAGGGGGGTTGGAACTAGATGATCTTTGAGGTCCTTTCTAACCCAAGTATTTCTATGATTGTATGAAAACTCCTTGTCCTGTTTTCAGCTGGAATAGAGTTAATTTTGTTCAGAGTGACTGGTATGATGCCATGTTTTTGATTTAGGCAAAAAACAATGCTGATAATACAACGGCATTTCAGTAGTTGTTGAACAATGCTTACACTAAGTCAAGGGCTTGTTAGATTCTCATGCTACCCTGCCAGTGAATAGGCTGGGGCTGGACAAGAAGCTGGGAGGTGACACAGCCAGGACAGCTGACCAGGACTGAACAAAGGGATATTCTGTACTGTGTGGCATCATGTTGAACAGTAAAGCTGATGGAGTTGGCCAGGGCGGGATGGCTATTGCTTGGGCTGGCTGGGTATCAGTTGCTGAGTAGTGAGCAACTGCATTTTGTCGTTTATTTTAGATATTGTCCTGGTTTTATCAGTATTCCATATCATAACATCATGTGACAGGCTGTTTGGTATAGAGATACAGCATACTGTAGAGCTGTGCTTCCTGTTCAGCAGACTCACATGAGTTCTGACGATCCAATGGGATCTTTATCTTCCAAGGGGAAGATACATGGGGGTGTACTGCACTTCCCAGGAGCCTCCACATGATTTCCAGTTCCGGCTGACAGGAATCTGGTCCCATGGATTTGTGCACCTTCATTAGATGGTCTCAAACATCAGATCTTCATTTAGAGCAGGCAGATCTTCCTTCTCCAAGTTCTTATCTTTGCTTTTTGCATCTTGGACAATGTAGCTATAGACCTTGCTTGTGAAGACTGAGGCAAAGAAGTCATGGAGCACTTCAGCTTTCTTTCTCCATATCCCTCGTGACCAGGGCTCCAGTTTCCTTACAGAGAAGACCAATATCTTCCCTGGCCTTCATTTTATCACTGATATATCTGTAGAGTTTCTTCTTGTTCGCCCTTTACATCCCTGGCTAGCTTTAACTTTATCTGGGTTTTAGCTTTCCTAACTTGATCCCTGGTTGCTCAGACAACTTCTTTGTAAGTCTGCCTCCCAGGTAACCCATTCCCTTCCTGCTTTCAACTCCCTCCAGACTTTCTTTTTATGCTTAAGTAAGTCCAGGAGTTCCTTGTTGATCTACAGAGGCCTCAAAAATTAGATTCTCCTATTTCAGTCAGGATTTTCCCTCTTTCTTTCTCTTCAGTGGGGAGGGAAGGGTGTCACATGATTAACTCTTCAAACTCCAACACTATTTTGGCACTCAATGTAGGGCTCAAACCCACGACCCTGGAATTAACAGTATCGAGGACAACTTCTCTAACAAGGGGGATCTGGCTGAAGCAGTGAAGGTTGAGGGCAGCCTTCATTGCAGTGACCATGAGATGGTGGAGTTCAGGATTTCATGTGGCAGGAACAGAATACCAAGCAGAATCACAACCCTGGACTTCAGTAGGCCAACTATGGCCTTTTCAATCAATTGCTAGGGAAAATCCCATGGAACGGGGTACTTGAAGGTAAAGGGGCCCAATATAGTTGGCTAGCATTCAAGGAGTGCTTCTTTCATGCTCAAGATCAGAGCGTCCCAACAGGTAGGAAGTCAAAAAGGGGAGCCAGGAGACCTGTGTGGTTAAACAGAGAACTGCTGGGCAAACTCAAGTGGAAGAGGTCAGCCTACAGTATAGGTTGGGGACTGACCTGCTGGAGAGTAGCAAAGGGGAAAGAGACCTGGGCATGACCGTGAGTCAGTTCTGTGCCCTTGTGGCAAAGAAGGCCAATGCCATCCTCCAGTGTATTAGGAGGGGTGTGTAGGTTGAAAGCGGTTCTCCTCCCTCTATACCCTGCCTTGGTGAGATCTCATCTGCAATATTGTGTCCAGTTCTTGGCCCCTCAGTCCAAGAAGGACAGGGAACTGCTTGAGAGAGGTGCAGAGCCACAAAGATGATAAAGGGAATGGAGCATCTTCCTCATAAGGGAACAACAGAAAATCCCTTCCTTTAGAAGAATGGTCCACTTTTGAAGCAACCTGATGCATTTACTTGTTTTACATTTCCTAGCCATTTATCTGGGATAAGATTGAGAGGTTATGTTTGAAGAGCTGGTAAATAAAACAGTCTAGCATGCACTGCACTGCAAAATCCTAGGGAAGGCGAAGCTCTTGCATTCTTCACATGGTAAACTAGGCAAGCTCAGAGGCATGCTAACTTCGCCTACTCTAATACCAAAATCTGCTAATTCTTTACCAGGGTTCTCTGGTAAACTGTTAGATTTTCTTCTGAAAAGGCTACTAACATTTTGACAATGCAGGCAAAGTGTTTGGCATTATTTCTTAAGTCTTTTCAACTTTCTGAGCTACTAACAGGATCTTCTTTTGATAGTTGAACAGTCTCTAGTATTGACAAAATCACTCACCCAAAGTAACCTGGAAAATCCAAGATGAAAACTCCAGGTTTTTACGCTCTACTACACTACTTAAAATACTATTGTTTTCCTCCATTTTCACTAGGTCTGACTGTTACAGGTGTGCTTACTGAAAAGCAGACCTACTCTTGTTGGGAACAATCCCAACTTAATTCCCTTTTCTCTGTGAACTCTATACGTGTCTTGGCAGACATCCCCTTACCTGGGTATACCAAGGTCTATATTTTCATGTTAATTTGCCCTTAATTCTCCATATATATCATCCTCTATGAATGTCAAGCCTCACATACTCAGAAATATGTAATTGAAGTCATTCTGTAAACGACATCAGAGATTTCCTGCTGTGTTGAAACTGCAACTGGATTCCTTAAAACTGCATTAAGCTGCTTCTTTCAACCAGGTGATACAAAAACAATTTCAATTATTTTAAAATAAAATTATTGCATGGACACAGTAACTTTCTTTTTGGAAGCAAGATCTTGTTTCCATTTTCTGTATATCAAAGTTTTTTGTAGTGCTTATTTACATGCGGCACAGCAGTAACAATCCCATCAACAATCACTACCAACTTATTTGCCGTCAACCTACTGAACCCTTGATCTAATATTTTCAGATGAAACCTCCAGTACTTGAGTCAATTACTTTCTCTCCAGATCTTCCTCCCAAGCACCATGCTGTGGTTCTTTGCTTTTATTATCTCTTCATTTCTACCAGTCCTCCACACTTGCAACTGCAAGTAACTGCTCTGACTATACATAAACTGCAATCCCAGACTAAGGGATAAACTGATATTGGAGTCTGACACAAGTACACTTGTGTCAGGAGAAATATAATAATCTGGAAATTAGTAAAATTTCTCTTTCCTTATCAGAACAAAATCTCTGGGTGAAAAAAAGTTTTCCAGTTGCCTGTTGTCCCAAAATTTGTGATTTGCTTTTTCTATGCTACCCTGTCTTACCATGTCTATTCTATTTCACCTGAAATCTCCTAGCAGCAGGTATTTGTCCACTGTTTCCTCTCTTTGCAGTACAAAACTCCAAAGGTGTAGAGGGAAACGCGTTCTTGGCTAACTCAATAATAATAATGCAAGTAATTGTATTTCTTTGACTTGCATTCTCCCTTCTGCTCATTTGACCACTGGGAAACTGTAGGTGCAATACAATGTTGCAGTCATAAATCATAGAATCACAGAACAGCTAGGGCTGGAAGAAACCTCAAAGATCATCAAGTACCAACCCCCCTGCCATAAGCAGGGTTGCCAGCCACTAGGCCAAGTAACTGCAAGGTAACACAAGATCCTCAAAGAACATAAAAACCATTACAAGAGATGAGCTCCCTGTGCTCAGCACGATTCCTGGCTGGAATGCAAATCCTGCTCCTTTTGGAAAAGAAGTAACAGCTCCCTCTGTAGACTATTCATTGCTCAGGACAGTGTGGTGGAAGTCACCTGTAAAAATACCAGATTTCTCTACTATTAATCAACAGAAGAGCACTTGCAAGCAAGAACCTACTGAAAAACAGTTCTTCTGGATAGATGGAATGAAGAAATTACAAGTCAAGATAAACATCTAAAAACACAAATACATGAACACAGGACTTCTGACACTCCATGCAATTTCCAAACCTCTGTATATGAGTCACATGCACTCATGCTGGCTTTTGCAAGCTGAAGTGGCTTGCAGTTTGTTCCGTTAATCCCAAAGTTTCTGAATTAAGACTCGGAATCAAGTCAAGATGTTGATCGATCAAAAATGTACCTTTATTTATTAAAAGATGAGTAAGCAAGGAAAAAGAGAAGAAAAGGAGAGAAAAAATGAGAGAAAAGTAAGTCACCACTGTGGATTCTGTGACGTTCTGAGGATTTGCCCTTCTTCTTTCTTCTTCTTCTAAGTTTGAAACCATTTCCCCTTGTCCTATCACCACAGACCCTACTAAAGAGTCAGCCCCCTTCTTTCCTATAGCTCCCCTTTAGACACTGACAGCCTCAGGTCTTTCAGCCTGACCTTGTAGGAGAGGCATTCCATCCTTTGGTTCATTTTGGTGATGCTCCTCTGCACATGCTCCGATGGGTCTATGTCTCTCCTGAGGACTCCACATCTGGATGCAGTACTCCAGATGAGGCCTCACCAGCACATGGTGAATACAGGAGGAGGATCACCTCCCTCAACCTACTGGCCACGCTTCTTTTGATGCAGCCCAGGATATTGTTGGCTTCCTGGGCAAAGTGGGGGCACATTGCTGGCTTAGATTTAGCTTCCCCCATCCACCAGTAACCCCACGTTCTTCAGATTTGAAGGTTTATGCTCCTTCACAGCTTGTAAGGAGTCATCTGAGTTGCTAAATGCACAGGTAACTTTTCCATGCAGAAACTAATCAACTAAGTTCTTGTGCTACTAACAGGCAATGCTCAACGGAACCACTAGCTTGCGAAGTAATATTAATGGTTTTGGCAAGCACACACGCCAAAGTGCTGAGCTGTTTGTGGTTACAGGTGCTCATCACAAGTACATCTATTAGTGAGGTTGCAAGTACTGCTGCTTTCACACACTACAAGTGGTTAACATTATCATTACAGTCAGTCCCTCACACAAAGGCATTTCAACATGATTACCATTAGGTATGATTATGGGAGGGAAGAGCTATGGTTCTTAGTGTGGTATGTTTACAGCTGTCTCAGTGAGCAGGGGTTCTTTCTGCTTCTTCCTTCGCATTTGCCAAAATTTCTTTTCTGATATGTCAACAAAGTAAATCATTCCAGTCTGGATACTGAATCCTAATAATAGCTACCATTACCTAAGCTCCCTCATCTGGATCCTCTCTATATGCTCCTGCCAATCCTTTCCATGATTGGCACTTCCACAATTACTGGGTCTTACTATCTGCCTTAAAAGGCAGTCCTTGGAGCCGTCCTCCATGTTTGTTCTGTTACAGGACCGAAATCATCTATCTCTCTGAGCTACTTACAATGTTTCCCTTCTATGTTATGCTACACACCTTTCCTATATAATAAGTATAGTGCTTTTATTTCCTTAGCAATTTTTTTGTTCCAGTGCATTCTACATTTCACAGACTTCATCTAAAAAAAAAATTCAGCTTCTTCCCCTTCATTGATATGTAGCAGTGGTATTTACAGATAAGTATGAATATGTTACTCTGTTCCACAAAGAAAGAACCATCCCCAAGGGAGAATCATGCAGATGTGATTAAAGGAAGCACTGCTTGTATGATTATAATACATGTCTGTGTTAGTGAGGTTATGCTGTTGTGCAGTGTAGTTTATTGCTTGAAAACACTCTTCCACTGAAGTAACATTTCCCAGTCTAAAAGCAAATCCCGCCTCTGATTAAAGGCAATGGAGAGCTGGCTTCCTCAGACATAGAAAAAGCTGAGCTACTCAATGACTGCTTTGCCTCAGTCTTCGCTGGTGGTCAGGTTTCCCATGTCTGCCAGGGTCCTGAACCTTTAGGTGAAGGTGTGGGGAGAGGATTCCATCCCACTGTAACAGTGGAACACGTCCAAAACCTCATGAAACTGAATGTTTGTAAGTCCATGGGGGCAGACGATATCCATCCTAGGGTGCTGAAAGAGATGGCTGATGTGATTGCTGAGCAGCTCTCCATCATGTTTGAAAAATCATATCTGCTGGGTGAAACCCTCAGTGACTAGAAAAAGGGAAACAGTACTCCCATTTTTAAGAAAGGAAGACCCAGAAAACTACAGGCCAACAAGCCTTACCTCTGTGCTTGGGAAGATCATGGAGCAGATCCTCTTGGAAGTGCAAAGTCTCCAGTAGAACTCATGAAATCTCAGGCGCTTCTCTATGGATTGTGTCACAAAACCCAAAGAAATATATTATAAAAGATATATATATATATAAAATATATATATATATAAAATATATATATATATATATAAATATATATATCTATAAAAGATGATCTAGTGAAGTCTAGTGAATAAAATGGAGGAAGGAGAATACCAAATACACTGCCACAACAAGCACATCAGAGACTTGGTTGGAGATGGGCTACGAGTAGGATATCAGAACAATGGGATACAAAATACATAGGGAAGACTGAGAAGGCTATTCTCCATCCATTTAAAATTAAGATCAAGGTAGGTTATTAAATGAACTGCATTAATATGTAGTAGTAACAGGAACCTCACAGACTGGGCAAATACTACTAAATACACAGGAACAGAATTATATTACAGACTGTAAGATGAGGATTGTGAAAGCAATCAAGTATTATATAAGTATATAATATATATATATTATTATATATATATATAAGCAATCACACCAGCACAAGAGTGGCAAGTCAGGAAACACATGGAAATAGGATCAGCTTGTGACTGCTGTGAACTGTGTACAGGCCCTGGCTTAGCACAGTTCAATCCAGCAGCTTCTCTGTCACACTGACCACAAATGTACAGAGTTTCAGCAGAAATGGGGGAGTGGGAGGGCGGGTGATGGAAGCACGATGATGTAACAACTTCAAAAGAGAAAGCTACGGGCAAATGAGGAAGTTTTTCAAAGAGAAATTAAAAGGCATGGCTAAAGGAACAAAATACTTGTTCTTTAGGGAAAACTTCATTAGGAGAGACTATTTTAGGATCCCTTGCTAGAGGATGAAAACAAACACATATGATATATCAAGAATACTATGAAAGCACAAAAGAAAGTCAGTGCTAAAACAGAAGGGGAAGGGGCTCAACTTAAAAACAAGAATACCAGCTTTGAGAATTGAAAGCTTAGTTCAAATAAAGACAATAGACCAGATCATGAACTCTGGCAAATAAATGTGAAATTTTAGGAAGAGAAAGAGATTATTGTAGGGACCTGTTGCTACATATTTAGCCTGCTACTAAGATCTTCCCCTGGAAGTTAGCTATTGGCCATTCTCAGGGAAATGTTTCCACTCATGACAGTTCATTCCAATGTTTTGTACTCAGAGCCATCTGAGGTGATCTGTTTCTATTAATCTATTTTTATTCTTAGAGGGGTTTTCAGAGTCAGTTGTTTTAAAACTTGTTTCTGTTTTATAGCATTACATTTAGACCTGTGGTTTTGGCTTAAAAAACTTCAAGAGAAACAAGGTACAATGTGACGGAATTTAATTCTAAGCACTATCTTTCTGATAGAAAGATCTTTCCTAAGGCAAAGGTTCTGTAGCATTTCTAGAAGCCAGTCAGTCTGGAACAGTTGAACTAGGTGATCTTTGAAGTTCCCTTCCAACTGAGCTATTCTATCCTATTTTTGATTACATGGACTTGCAGGATCTTCTAGCTGCCTCACTCATAGATTAAAAGGTATTTGTTTTAAAACCATATATATCTCCTGTTACGTCATATAGAATGACTCTCACCTTTGCACATGGGAGAACAGTGGGAGAACCGAAGAACTTGAACTCTGTAGCTGTTCTCTGTGTCTGCTTGCTCTTGTAAAGTCACCTTTGCATCTCTGGTGACATACTTTTAATCAATCAAATAATCAAATTAAGCCTCAAGTGAATAGAATCAACTGTACTTAAAGGCGGTGTAGAGGTTCTCTGCAGATCACAGAATCCAAGACAGGTAAAGGTGTGAGTCCATCTGGTCCAAACCTTGCTCAAGCAGGGACATCCAAAGCAGTTTTCCTAGGACCAAACCCAGGCAGCTTTTGAAGACCTCCAAGAAGAGAAACTTTACAACTTCTCTGGGCAATTTTATAACTGAAAAATAAACAAGAGGATAAGTATCTGTTGAAACACAATTGTTCTGAGACCACATGCTCAGAAAAAATTATTTGCACCTGTGTTTTTATTCTCCTGTTGCCTCTGAAAGTAGGCATCTCTTGCATTCTTCAGGCTCCTGCTTTTAGGGGAAACTGCTCCCAGGAGAAGGCTATAGGAATGTCAGTAAAACAGTTAATTCTTAAATGCCATCTGAGCTGGTACCTACTGGCAAGAAGTAGAGCAGTTCACTCTCTATTGTTTCAAAGCAACTACAGAAAAAAAGAAAAAAAACTTATTCAGCAGATTAGCACTAAAAATCTCAGAGCACCTCTACAAACCAGAGCAGTGGGAGAGTTCTCTTCAGTTTTTAAAACAAAACAAAAAAAACTATACCATTAAATAATTTTGTGGAGGAAAAAAAAGAAAGTGAAGGAGGCAAATTTATACTGAAGTGTTCAACCTTAATTTGAGCCTCGCTTGAGCTGCAATGATCAACTCAGGGAAGTGAAATAAAAAAATTCTTAAATCAAGACTATTATTACTTGCATTCCCTCTTCCTAAGACAGGTTCACGAGTTTCTTCTTGGTTCTCAGCCGTTGGGAGTACCATATGAAGAAGCCCTTGTAGAAAACTGAGAGCAAAGTACCTATGAGATGAGCTTGAAAAGAGGAAGGGTATCTGAGTGGAGCACCTAGACATATTTGCACATTGTCATTTGGGGAACTGTAGAACAGATTCCCAAAGCATAAGGAGAGGTTTCCTGGTGGATATTTAATGTAAATATCCAATATTATAGCTTGCTAGTACAAAAAAAAAATATATATATATATACATATATATCCCATTTAGTTCTATCAGAGCTCAGATATGATTACTGTGATATAACAGCATTCATCTGCAAGCATTATAACCCACTATATTTAGGTCGGGGAGTTTAGATTTGGTTAAAAAACTGAAAGTTGCTAGCATTTTATAATTCAAGTCTTCTAGGACCATCCTAAGAATGTCATTGCACTGTCCCAGATAAATTCCCTCAGCTGGTACCTGTGTCAGTATGGGGGCAATGTATCTATGTGAAACCAGGGAGAGTAGAGGATGGGAGAAACAAGAACCCCGTCATATGGCACAAACCTGGTAACTCGCTGTTACTACAAGCATGTCACACAGTCTAACACTGTTTTAAGTGACCACAGGACTTGTATTTTGGTGTAGTGTAGAATATTTCAGGCTTTCCAACAGCCAGAAAGGACACAGCTAGTATAGCTACTCATTTTTGGAGAGCCCATGTGAGAAAATACCAGCTGGTTGACCAAAGGACTGATCTATGTACCTGTGATACACCTATGATACTGGTCACAGAGATGATTTAGTGCATTTGAAAACAGAAATAAAAACCTGAGAGCACATCTCTCAAAAGTGATAGGGGCAGGGAGATGGAGGAGTGGAGCATGTTTTGAAAACAAAGGTCTTCTAAAGAAAGTTACTTAAACTGCTCTCCTTAGGGATTTCCTGCATGCAGAAGAGAGCTGAGAAATAAATAATAGGCATAGAAATTCTGTTAAAATATCAGCTCTTTCAGGCTTTTGATTTTAACACACACACACACACAAAAAAATGCCTAAGCAATTTGGATAGGAGGAGTATTAAAAGGAAAACTGCAAACATCCCAACGCAGCATCCTGAAATTCCCATCTCAGCAGGGATGGGAATAGCAGGATTGGGATGAACACAAACAGTGGAGAATTAAATGATGCCCCTGCATTTTCTGATGCATTTGAAGATGTGTTTTCTGATGAAAGCATCTGCAAACACAAGATTGCCTCCCAAGTCAATGGAGTGAGATTGTTGGATACAAACTCTGGGGGTTCTGTGCCAACCACATATTATTACAACCACAAATATTCTGAGCAGGGCACAGACATCTACTATCCCAAAGAGTCCTCTTTGCTGTAACAGCTCTGAAAAAATAGCTAAGGTCAGCTAGTAGTTTGCTTAAACACATAAACATTTACAGGAAAAGCAATCAGCTCAGGAGAAGGAAACGTTTATAAAAAAATGACCATCAATGCAAAATATCTCACTCTTCCAAGGTGAGATTTCTCAACTAAGAGAAATTGTTCAGTGTGACATTTGCTAGGCCTAAACAGAGAGAATGGAGCAGAAATGTAAGGAAAGCACTAACAAAATCTTCCTGATAATAAACTATCCTACAGGACTGTTTCAAGCTGGAAAATTGCTTATTGGGAAGTATGTAAAACTAGAAGAGAGACAACGCAGGAAGAAGCTTATCAGAAGAATTACACAGACACACAACAGAGAAAGACTAGACGATCTCATAGACCTCTTCTGTCTCTGATTTCTAATTAGTAAATGCCTCTAATTTATTACTTACTCACATCTCATCTGCCATTCGAAGAGTTATTGATGACAATTTCTTACTGCTGCTGACAACTTGAAAAGTGCAAGCCTCTTCTGAAGAAAGGGGATTAAATGCTCAATAGTAGACACTGAAAAGGGCTTGACAGAGTGCAGAATGAAGGGAGAGGAGTAGTGAAAGTAGGAAGGGAGGGAGGGGAACATTCACCAGGTCACTGACTCATCCGCTTTAATGTTTTCATTAGATCTCACTTTTGCTAGAAGGAAAACCCAGCTTCCTTACCTCTCCTTTCCTGTCTAGTTTTGTCTTTTTGAGAAGTAGTAGGGGAGAATTTGACAATAAAGATTATTTCCATACTTGCTTCTGCTGAAGAAGTCTCCAATCTGCTTTCCCACACAGCAAAGCAAAGAGTGCATGACAAGATGTTGCAATCAGGCTGCTGAGTGCCTGTGAAACAGGAAACTTGAGGCTACATTCAGAAGACAAAAAACGTAAAGTTGGAAAGCTGTGCAAAATAACTCAATTTATACCAATATGGGGAGTGTTGGAGATAGAACATTTCTTATGCTGACAAGGGCTATCTTAAAAACAGCATGAGTGGAAGAGATTATTACTAGCAAAATTCATGCTCATTGCTTGCAAATGCAACAGGCCTTAATTGCATTGCAGCAGTAATTGTGAGAGTGTGCAGGTCTGAAGTGCTCCCTCTCAAGACAGAAGCAGATGGATAGGTACAGTACAAGACTAAAAAGACCACTGGGACAGAAGCCCTAGTGCTGTCAAAAGGGAAGTAGAGGTGTTGTTCAAAAAACAGATTAACAGCCTGATGTGCGAGGTCAGTAATCACATATTCAGGAGAGACATTCTTTATTTATTCCAGATTTGTGCAAGTCTAGATGCTGGATGGTTTCCCACAAATCAAACACACCAAACAGAACTACCACCACTACAGTTATACACAAAACTCGCAAAGCTAATAATTTTTCCAGCCCATCCTCTTTGTGATGACTGGTTAGTAATTTTTATATAATAATAATATTGTTGACTGTATACTTCCTCTACTATGCATGCACCTGGGCAGGGGTCTTTTCAATCTATGAGTGTGACTTTTAACATTATAATGAAGGTAGTTCAGCTGAGCATACACAGACCTTGAGTTTTCTTGCCAAGTTGGCAACATCCTCAAACCATCCTGATTAACATCTTTCTCATGGTCTGCTGATTTTGTGACATCCCTGGTTAAAGGATACTATTTGTTTATTCTTCTGATACTTAAACACACCACTAGCCCAGAGTTCCTTGTTCAAATGCCTATTACAATGTTAGCTCAGTTTTTAGAGTCAGTTTTCAATAGATGTACAGCACAGGTTTGAAAAAAAAAAAGTCTTGTGAGCTTTGGGACACTTACAGAAATCTTTTTCTATATTCAACACCCAGTACAAACATGCTTGAGAAACAGGCAGGCACTGAGAGCTGCCATCTCTCAACATCCCCAACAGTCAGCTTCTCAACAGCGTCAGTAACAAGAGAGAAATTGAGCTAGTGAAGAGAGTCCAGCAAAGGACCACTGAGCACTATGACTAAGAAGCATCTCACACATGATGAGAGAGTCAGAGAGCTGGGACTGTTCAGGCTAGTAAAGAAAAGGCTCAGAAGGATCTCATTACTGTATATAAACACCTGAGAAGAAGGTACAGAGAAAATGGAGCCAGACTCTTCTCAATGGTGCCCAGTGCCATGATCAGAGGGAACTGGCACAAACTGGAGCACAAGAGGTTCCCTCTGAACACTGGAAAGCACTTCTGAGATGTGGGAGTGATGGAGCACAGGCAGAGATACAGTGGGGTCTCCATTTTGGAGATCTTCAAAAGCCACTTGGATACCTAGTGTACCCACTCTTGGTGGCCCTTGCCTCAGTAGAGTGATCAGGTAACCTCCAAGGGTCCCAGTCAACCTCGGTCTTTCAGACAACAGAGCAACACAGGAGAAGGGATGTCTTTCCTGAACAATTTCAGTGGAACTTAGAGAAGTGTAGGAATGGTTGTCAAACTCAATAAGGGAAAAAACTGCATTTTGAGAGCTTAGTTGGGAACATAAAGTGCGGCTGGAAAGAAATCAACAAAATTCAGATACTGCTTAAATACCCAGACTAAGGAGGGAAGGCCATGACCAACAGTTGAAAAGGAATTAGGAAAAGGAAGATGTTACCTGTGGAAAAGTGAAAGTTGGTGGGAAACAATTAAGAGCTCTGTTTGATTTTTTTTTTTTTTTTAATTTTTTCTCAAATATCAGCAGTAGAGTCCTTAGTTTGGACACAGAAAACTGACAGATACACAGACAACACAGTTAATAGCTAACTGTGCGTGTAAATAAATTTCACGCAGCTTATGCAGATGCCTGTGCCACGCTCCCGGTAGAATCAGCAGTATGGTACAAGCTGTCAGACTCAATCAATCAGCTTTCCAGGACACATGCAATGCTCCTGCCCAGTTCTTCTCTGCTCAACAAGTATGTCACACAAAAGTCTCCTCCCAAACCAGGGACTTCTTTAGCACGCTTACAGTCATTAGAACCTGCATTTCCTTCTTACTAAAAGACACACAAGGCCGTTATCCCACCTCTTCTAAAAAATTAAAACACAGAGCACTAGAAATTGGGCTGTCACCATCGCAGTTGGGGTAAACGTCACTTAAGTAGGTCAGTCTCAGATCAAGTAAAGCTTTATTAATTCATTCAGGACCAACCTCACCAGTGAGCAGCTGGAACTCCTCTACAGTGACACAGAACATGCAGAGGCTGTAGGAGACGCTCTCATTCAGAAGCACAGCCCATATGAAGAACGCTGAAGACGTTCAGCTCCAGAGGATGAGAGCTGCTATGGGGCGAACCCGCCGAGTACCGCCCACCCGGACCCAGGCGGCCCACTACGCACACCCTCGTGGCGGCCCACCATGCGTGCTTCGCTACCGTCGGACGAGCCATTCCCGCCTCCAGCCGCGCTTTTCCGCCGCAGAGGGTAACCGCAGGGTACTACCAGGCAGCCTTCCTTCTACGTCCGTGACAAGGGAAGCGAAGGGGGTAGTAACGTCGGAACCTTTCTCCCTCGCCTATTGGATGGAGAAAGAAGGCGGGCTCCGCAATAGCTCCACTTATAGGCTGGGGCGGGGTTTGAAAGCCGCCCTTTTCTGTCTCCGCTTCTGATTGGCTAAAGAGAGGCTATAGGCGTGCCTATGGCCGAGATTTTCTTGGGCGGCGAGGCACGGCGCGTTAGTTTTTGTCATGCTCTTCCTATTTCCGGTTCATGGGGCGGGCGAGGGTAGTGAGGCGGACATGGCCGTCGCAATGGCCCTTGGGCTCTGCCCCTGCCCGCCGACCATGGCCTGTCCCTGAGCAGCTCCCGCTTCTCCGTCGAGCCGTGGTGCGGACGGAGAGGACCGTGCGCGGCAGCAGGTAGGTGTGGCGGAAAGCGAGCCCGGCTTTCTACTGCGTACTTACGCAGTGGGCACGGAGCGGCGGGGACGAGGCGGCGGGCTGCCCCGGGCTGACTCTGCCCAGCTGTGAGCAGGTGGTTCCGGGCAGCTGCCACTCAGGCCTGGTTTGTCTGCCTGTGCGGTGGCTAGCTGGCAGAAGCCGACAGCAATGCCGTGCGGTTTCTTCCTCCTGCGTCTGTGCAAAGGAGGCGTTTGCGGAGAGGTTGCCGAGGAAGTGTGTTCGAGTAGCGAGTTCTTCTTTTGTCTCGTGAGGAGAGACTCAAGAGTTCTTGTGTCCCGGGCCTTAGCAGCGTGGTGTATCCAACCTTTGAATGTATCTAGCCTCTCCATACTCATGTTTATCTCCATGGTGATAACAAGTAGCTCAGAAGATGTTGCTTGACAGGATGAGCTGAGGGGCAAAGATGACGTTCCACCAAATAGCCTGCCAGTCTAGTTGCAGTGAGGAACTTATGAAACTGTGATTCGTTTGTTCCCAGCATCTGGAACTGACATCCTCACTAGGAGAAGCAAAGGGGAAATCCGTCCTGGTGCAGTTGCAGAGTGATTTACGTGCTATTTTAGCATAAGCCTGAAGGCTGAAAGTTCAAGACTTCATGGAATCATTAAGATTGGAAAAGACTAATAAGATCATCTAGTCCAACCGTCAACCCATTGCCCCCATGCCCACTTGCCTTTGTTACTCCCCTTCTCTTGGATTAATCATAGGATGTTTCGATTTCCTTTTTCAGTTCATGAAAACTGTTCTGTGGTGTTGCAGCTGAGTACTACTGAATGCTTTCAGATTCTCAGCTGAAGTAGTCCTAGAGGATAACGTAATTATTAGGATTAAGGAGCTTGAGCAGACAGAGCCTGACAAAGTCACAGTGGCTCTTCACTGCAAGCTCTTTATACAAAAGCTGCAGAGAGACTTGATTAGAGGCCTGGTAAATTATTATTTGCTAACTGGCTTCTCAGTAGGATGTGATAATGAACAGTAGCTTGTGCCTGATACTTACACCAGCATTCAGCCTGCTAGGCTCTGTTTTGGCTGAATCAAAATTGGTTAACATGCTCAGCAGCGAAACTTTTTGTGGTTCTAAGTCAAAATTCATAAAAGAATCCCAAAGAGGCCTGGTTTGTTTTTCAGTATAAGAGATTGTAGTGTCTGTTGAGAACTGAGAGGTGTTCATAGGTTTTTTACTTCTTTTTGTAGTCAAGATTGAGGGAATGGTCAGTAAGTGCCTTCATGTAGTTAGTCTGTAGAGGGCTGAGATGGTTAATCCCATGTGTTCTTTGTGATATGTATCCAGGATGTCATCACATTCCCATACCTCTGCTGTGCTGGTAGTCTTTATGGCCCTTGCTGTTGGTGTGGGAGCTGAACCGCTGACTGAGAAGAGCTGTGATGTGGTTGGTGATGAGAGTACTGAGTCACAGATGGAAAAAGCCCTGCTGAAGAAACTAGAACCACTGAGTCAAATAAGGTATGATACAAGCAGTATTGACTAGCTGTGGACCTTAGAGTCCAGTGCACAGTGTTTACACCTACTGGGACAATTGGGTGGAAGAATTTAGGGCCAGGCTTTAGGGTGGGCTCTGTCGTTAGCATGAGCTGTGACCTGGCTTCCCAGGTCCTGAGTGTCATTTGCTTTGAACTCGACTCATTGTAATTCTGTTTGCTTGTCTTCTGTTCTCTCTTTGCTGCAGATTTAACACGACTGTGGAGATTGGCACAACTGAAAACTATGCCTACCATTTCAGGGTATGCAGAGAGGTCAACAGCAGCTTGCATGATTTTGCTGGCGTAGTACAAATGGATAGGCAGTCTGGAAAGACTACAGTAATAGGAAGAATCAATGAAACCCAGGTCTTCAATGGAAGTAAGACTACTCAGTAACACTCTTACTTCTTATCTAGCTTTTGCCTCCTGGTCTGGATTTGCAGCCTATATTCTTTCTCTCTTCACAGGTGACTGGATCATGCTGATTTATAAAGGAGGTGATTCATATGGTAGGCACTGCAGTGGTGAGAAGAGAAGAGCTGTGATAATGATTTCTTGCAAGCGAGGAATTACAGCGGTGAGTGACAATATGAGGTAGGACAGGAACAGGAGGCTGTCAGACAAAGCTTGTTTATAAGCAGAAAGGCCTTGAGGGTGCAGTAATGTTTTCTTACGTTCTCTATGGGTTGTTCCCCTTTACCAATAGAGCTAAAACTATCTTCTGGTGAAGTTTAGTATAAGCCTGGGTGTATTTTCACATAACTTTTCCCAAATTGCAGAGTTCATTCAGCATTATTTCAGAAGAGAGGGAAAAGGAGCAGGACTGTTTCTACCTCTTTGAGATGGACAGCAGTGTGGCTTGTCCAGCTGAGGATTCTCACCTCAGCACTGGCTCCATTCTACTAATCACGTGAGTTGTTGGAAGATGTTATACTAGTCTAGATAATTGTATTCAGTCACTGTTAGACGTTACTGTGGCTCCAAGCTTTGTAGACAAATTCTAGGTTAAGACATAATGCTGCAGAGCTGCTTTGTTCCCTTCATAGCTTACAGATCAGTGCACTTAAACATGGAATGTGTGACTTCCTGGAATTGTACAACAGTTCTTTGCCACAGTTGGAAATTCAGACTAGGAGTCTTGACTTCTCATTTTCTGCCTTTGTGCTTTGGAGATCTGCTTCACGCAGATGTCCTGAAAAATTTTTCTAGCAGATCTATATGTTTTTGACCTTTTCTGGTATGGTCTTTCTTCAACTCTTTTCTTAGGTGATGTTCAGCTACTTGCTCCGGTGCCAAACTGAGGCAAGTATAACTGGGTTATAAGAGACTACTTGTATAATTTTGCTGTTCTGATTTTTAATTCTGCCCTCTAGGTTTTCCTCAGTAATCGCAGTCTATATCATTGGTGGGTTTCTCTACCAGCGCCTTATAGTGGGAGCAAAGGGCATGGAGCAGTTCCCTCACTTTGCGTTCTGGCAAGATTTGGGCAATTTGGTTGCGGTGAGTGGAAATCCTTTTATATTCCCAATCTAAGCCCACATGTTAAGACATAATAAAAGGGCACCTGCACTGTCTTCATAGACTGTTTCTTGGATAGACCTGCCACAGTGTACCCTGTGGGAAAAGAAGATATCTATCTTATTCTAGGTAAGGGGAACACTGTTTTTAATTCCTTGATGCAGCTGGTTCCCTACTGCTCATTATGATTAAGACTTTTCAGGTAGGAATGTTCAGCTGGGAACTGTGGAATGTTCAGGCCTGATTATGTGAAACCCTTGCTTGATCACCTTAAGTAGTGTTGTTCATTCTCTGAATGTCTGTGTTGCTGCACTTAATCAGTACCACATTCTACCCCAGACCTAAGTTTCAGGATAAGCTAGGATATCCCTTTGTATGCTCCTCTTATCAGCCTAGGTTCTGTGGACTTGCCCTCAGATAGCACTGGGGTAGACATGTTCGTGTAGCAAAATTGAATATGTTTTGCTTTGTGTGGCTGCTGATTCTGCATACATTCTGATTCTAATGTAACAACTTGTGCTTGTAGGATGGCTGTGACTTTGTCTGCCGATCTAAGCCTCGAAATGTACCAGCTACATACCGTGGTGTGGGTGATGACCAGCTGGGTGATGAGTCAGAGGAACGGGATGACCACTTGCTACCAATGTGATAGGCTTTCAACACTTCTCCCCATTTCCCCCCAGCCAGTTCTTCTCTCTTCTGATTTTTCTTTACATGATACGCTTTGCCTGTCTGGTGTGTCAAGTCTCATGGATGCCTCTAGATGTGAACAGCACTGGTCCCCAATGGCATGCCTCATTGCTGTAATGCTGTTTTGTTTTTTTGTTTTTTTTTTGTTTTTTCCAAAAAAATGCAGTAAAGCAGCAAAGCTATGGGGAGCAAGTGCTGAGAGTTGATAGGACAGCAAGAAAACAATGTGAATGATCAGCACTGAGAAGGAAAGGGAGTTTCTTCATTGAGAGGAAGAAAGGGCTGTGAATGCATATGCAGAAAGGGAAGTCTCCATTTAAAAAACTGAGACTGTAGCAGAGGGGTCTTTTAATGTATTTTTTTTTCCTAGGATTTACAAAATCTGTTAGACACTTTTTTTTTTCCTTTAAATGCATTTTTGGCTTTTCTAGCACCTGCACTGTTGCACACAGTCTTTGTCAGCATAACCTGCATGAAAAGCTCTATGCTGGACTCACTGGAGTTGGAAGAGGCATTAGCACCCCTCTAGTCTTTTTTCTAATGCCAATGTGTTGAAAAATAGACACCTGTTTCCTTCAGGAGGTGTAAAAGGATGCATGCCATCCTCTCAGACAAGAGAGGGGCAATGCTAAAAAGAACCGAGTTAAATGCTGTTTCACTACTTTTGAATTCAGTCAAAATACTGTCTTCTCCATCACAGAAGAGCAAAAAAAAAAAAAAATTATCATCTCCTAAATGAAGGGAATGCTTTCTGAATGTGTAAGTGACATCAAGGCAAAATCAGAAAATTGAAGACAGCTATCACTTGAGTTCTTTAAGAAGCCTTACTTGAAGCTTTATGCCTATACAGCTCAGTCATGGTCAGAATTGTGATCTCATGCTTCCTGAAGCTTCCTTGTCTGGCAGAATGTTTTCCTGGGAAGCTACTACAATTCTTATTAAAAAGAGTAAGAATGCTAACACACTCAGAAATGTTTTGAGAGTGACCCCAGTTGCTGTCCCCTTCAACATGATGTACACCAGTCTTAAGACACTTGCCCTGTGCAGATGGTACTTGAATACTGCTTGGAGCAAGAGAGCCTTCCACTTGGGCACTTGGGAAAAGCAGGTACAGCTGAGTTACAAGACTTAATTTGAACCTTTAGGAGCATAGTACTTTGATTCTTAATTGCTTTTTGCTTAGTCTAGCTCCTCACTCCCATCTGCAGTATGGCAGAATGGAAAGAAAACAGTCTTTGATCTTGAGGGCACAGACTGATGAATACTAATGGCATGGTACAGATAAGGTTTGTGGGTTTTTATACTGACAAAGCAGTATAACCAATGACAATAGGGGCAAAGAGATGACCCTGTTTTCTTGCTGGGGGATGAGTGGGCAAACACCAAAAGTCAGAGCAGAAATTATGGTCTCAGTCTTTCTCATAACATGGGAAAAAATGAAGTCATTAAGCCAGCTGGTACTGTTTCATGGTGGTATTTAAGGTAACTTGTTTTTTGTACAAAACAACTTTCAAAAATAAAATGATCAGACACCCTGCTGTAGTGTTGTGCTGATGTAACTTAACAGCTTTCTTTGGTGCTAGACCACCCTTCTTATCCCTGGGTCCTTATTATGCAGTATCTTCATACTTCTACCAGGACTCTCTTCTGTTAGTGTAGGGCCTTGAAAGGGCAGAATATGCACACTTTTCAAAGTTCAGGCATATGCACAAAGGAGAAAAGTTCCCTATATTCTTCTGTAAGAATGAAAATCAAAGTTGTTGCTTCTCAAAGGTCTGACTGACAGGAATAGTCAGGTTCAGACAGTTTAAAAAGTGGCCAGACCTTTAAAACCTGAACAATTTTTATTAAGAACACTGAATGTAACATGAAGAAGTGAAACCTTTAAATGTGACTGAAGTTAATCTACGCTTCAAAAGCAGCAAATACTACCTGCCTACCCTGTCAAAAGCCAAAGTAAACAAGTTTTGCCATACCCAGCCTGCTAACAAAATAGTTTAAAGGCTGCCCTCCTTTGCCATTAGAGGTGCTCACCTCTGCCTTTTTTGTCCCCTCAAATTTCATTGGACTGAAGAGTGTTTTCAAGGTGCAAGAATTGGTGGCTTCCTTTGGGTCTATTTTGATTCAAGAAGGCTTAGAATCCTTCTCTCATAGGAATGAAGATATCAAGAATAAATTCAGACTCAACACTTCAGTTAGAACTGGAAAGTTGATACTACACTTTAGAATCTCCCCCCCCTTCTTATGAGGTGGGTCAATACAGAGACTGTTACAGAGATCGCTGATGGTTTCTTGTGCCATTAAGCTTCCACCCATGCCACAACACTCCTGCAACAGTAGGTGCCTTGCACATAGAACAGTCTCATGTTTTACTCAAATATGCATGTGAAACTTCTGAAAATAAAAAAGCTGAGACAAACGGCCTAGGAAAAAGTCTTGCTTTCAGGTATTCAGCTGTAGGGGACACTTACCTCTTCATGCTTTGTATAATTTCTTCCAGAGTTTGTTTTTTGTTTTCATTTTGCTTTTTTAAAAGTGAAGGTGCTTCTGGAAGAGAACTGCACATTTTCATCTTTGGCAAATGCTAAAAAATTCAGAACTTGGTCTTTACAAAACCTGTGAGAGCTGAGTGGCAGGGGATTATCCTCTAAACATCACTGTACCCCTTAGGAAGAAATTGTATTAAAAAAAAAAAAAATCAAAAATCAGTTGTTAGAGTGTTTTTATACATATATATATATATATATATATATATACTGGGGAAGGAAGTATTTGTTTTACAACATCAATTTAAAAAAGTCTGAGGCAGGTGATACAATCCTGCCAACTTTGTCTTGTAAGCTCTCCTGAGGATAATGAAAACAGACAAAAATAATACAAACTGATAAAAGAACAGAAAACAAACTTAACAAAAAATGCGAACCAAAATTCCAAGTTTTTTTTTGTTTGTTTTGTTTTTTTGTTTTTTTTTTTTTTTTTTTTTTTTTTTTTTTTTTTATATGAAGAGCCTTGGCACTTCTGGAGACTGCTTTGGATCTGTAAATTATACTTTATCACACTCATGACACCTAGTGGTGAAGGGTTTTCTAATGTAAGACAACCCATCCTCCCACTCAGATTTTCCCATCACCTTGTCACGATAAATCCTCTTCTGCTTCAAAGATGGGCATCTGGAGCGAACAGCTGCCAAAAAACCTAGTCTTCAATCTGCATCTTTACTGGAGACAGTAAAGCTAAGGGAAGGTAGCTCCTAATGCCATGGGCCTTTGAGTTTGATATGTGTGCTGGAATGGCTATTAAACACAGTTAAAAAAAAATACCTAGGCTATAACAGAAACAGCCCCTTTTGTTTTAGTTCTTGTATACCCACCTCTGCCATTTGGACCTTTTTAAATACTCCACACACAGCTGCTCCCAAAACCATGCAGGGCAGGAATTTCCTGTACCTCAGGATCCAGCAAACCTGCTTCAGCAAAAAGGGGCAAGGGCACTTCCCCTTTACAAGGCTGCTAAAACAGAAGGAAGTCTCCTTCTCTTCTTAATGTGGTATATGGGAGAGGCATATCCAAAGAAGGAAGGAAGTTTCCAAGGCCCCAGGTGGGAATTTTCCTCCCTTTTTATAGCACCATTCAAAGATCAAGACATGGGCTTGTGCATGGCAGTTTCAGGCAGTTAAATTCCTTTTCATTCTTGAATGCAGGACCACATGGTATTGTCCCATTCCTTGCCCCAACAGAATGTCTTAAAGCTGGCAGCTGCTCTGGGGTCAGAGCAAAATTGAAACTGCTAGCTTCAGAGCTGTTAGGTCTCCTTGAGGACATTGATCTTGGCACATATCTTGAGAGCAGGTCCTAGCTTGATGTTCATAGCACTCATGAGGTGTTCTTCCTTCAAAAGCAACAGGGCCTGGCCATCTATTTCCTGTGACCGAAACTCTTCGGCAATCTCCTGGCATCCTGTGAAAGCAAGGAAACAGCACTAAGAAACAGCCATGGACAGTCCCAATTCCCCATCTCACTCGCAGAGGAGTACAACTCATCCATTTGCGTGACCTACTCCAGAAACATATACAGTTTGAAAGCATGACGTATCACTCTCAAAGATTTCCAAAAAGAGAGTCAACACATTTTCCCATGCTATTGGATCACAGAACTGCAGGAATGGACCATAGATTCACCTTGCAGTGATGCAATGAACTCATACACTTCCTCCACGCTCCAACGACTGGGATTGCTGGACAGGAATACAGGGTTGATGCCATGTAGATCTGGGGTAGGTGGGGCCATATTAGAGTTTGCCAGGTCTCTGTCTCCATGGCCAGATCTTACTGACAGAGGTCCTGGAGATGTAGGGGACAAAGCCTCATCGTAGCTAGAATTATCAGAACCTCGACTTGAATCCTCCTGGCCCTACAAGCCCACAAAAAAGAAAAAAAACATAAGCATTTTGTTTGTTTGTTTTTTGCTGTTTTTGTTTTGCTTTAATGAAGAACAAATACACTCACATTTATTAACTGTAAAAGTCAGAAACTAAGAGCAACAGCAGTTTTCCCAAACAGTGACAGCTGTTTCAGGCTGTTGGTCCAGGGGCAGCTGCCACAACAGCTTGATGTCACAAAAGGGAGATTCTCAATTCCCTTCCTTTTCCTCACTATCCTCCCACAGTCCATTCCTCTTCCTCATGACAGCTCTGAATAATAGAATTATAAAATGACCTGGGTTGAAAAGGACCTCAAAGATCATCCGGTTTCAAACCCCCCTGCTGTGTGCAAGGTCACTAACCACCAGACCAGGCTGCCCAGAGCCATATCCAGCCTGGCCTTGAATGCCTCCAGGAATGGGGCATTCACAACCTCCTTGGGCAACCTGTTCCAGTGTGTCACCACCCTCTGAGTGAAAAACTTCTTCCTAATATTTAACTTAAATCTCCCCTCTCTCAGTTTAAAACCATTCCCCTTTGTCCTATCACTGTCCACCCTTGTAAACCATCATATCCCCTCCCGTTCATATGCTCCCTTCAAATATTGGAAGGCCAAATGAAGTCTCGCTGGAGCCTTCTTTTCTCCAAACTAAACAATCCCACTTCCCTTAACCTCTCCTCATAGCAGAGGTGCTCCAGCCCTTTGATCATCTTAGTGGACCTCATCTGGACTCGTTCCAAGAATTCCACATTTTTCTTGTGCTGGGGGCCCCAGGCCTGGACGCAGTACTGCAGATGGGGCCTCACAAGAGCTGAGTAGAAGGGAACAATCACCTCCCTCTCCCTGCTGGCCACTCCTCTTTTAATGCAGCCCAGAACACAGCTGGCCTTCTGGGCTGCAATTGCACACTGCTGGCTGATGTCCAGCTTTTCATCTACCAGGACCCCCAAGTCCTTCTCTGCAGGGCTGCTCTCAAGGAGTTCTTCCCCCAGTTTGTATAAATACCTGGGATTGCCCTGGCCCAAGTGCAGCACTTTTCACTTAGCCTAGTTGAATTTCATTAGGTTTTCATGGGCCCATTCTCCAGCCTGTCCAGGTCCCTCTGGATGGCTTCCCTTCTCTCTAACATATTGACTACACTGTTCAGCTTGGTGTCATCTGCAAACTTGCTGAGGGTGCACTCAATGCCATCTTCTGTGTCACTGATGAAGATGTTAAAGAGCACTGGTCCCAAACCTACCCCTGAGAAATGCTGCTTGTGACTGGCCTCCACTCTGACATAGAACCATTGATCACAACCCTTTGGCTGCAACCAGCCAACCAATTCTTAATCCACTGAACAGTCCATCCTTCAAATCCATGCCACTTCAATTTAGAGAGAAGGATGTGGTGAGAGACCATGTCAAAGGCTTTGCATAAGTCCAGGAAGATCATTCAATCCTTCTATAATCTGATTCAAATTATTTCTCTGAAAGAAAGCTAACCATTCAGGAAAAGCAGATCAGTCTGTCAGCTGATCACACTCACTCAGGCATCTGTGACATAAGTTGGAGTAAATACAGAGTAAACAGAAGCACAAATGTGAATCTACCTTTTGCAGCTGATGAGCAAGCAATGGGAGTAGCTTACAGTGCCATGTGTAACAACTGTGTCAGAACATCCACTTGGCAGTTAACGTGCCACTACATACATTACAAGAACCCAATGCCTCTAGCAGCAGCAACTTTTATATTGGCTGCTCTGACAGAAGCAGACAGGACTATGGCCTTACCCTGTGACGCTTGCCCTGGATCTTTGTTCGAGTAATTTCAGAGCTGCTGCGCCGTGATCCCCGTCGGCGCACTCGAGCATAGTTAGCTTCCTGGAGTTCTTTCATCTTCTTTCTCTGCAGCCGAAACTGATGGCTGCAGCTGACATTGTACCTCAAATAAGTAGAAGCAGAGCAGCAATTAGGAAACAGCAATTAACTAAATTACTGCTTCTCCTTCTTCTAGATGGGGATGAAACTCATCTTTACCAACAAATTCTGTTCTTCCTTCTAAGAATTCTCCCTAGAAGAAACCAGTCCAGACTTCTGACACAAGCAATATTTGTATACCAAAATCTTGCTCTAACATCTGAAAGGTCAATTAAGTCATTCCCTTAATGGAAAAGAAAACCCATAACAAGTACTCTACTATTGTAATGTCTTCCCAGGTTTTTCTCCTTGTGTCTTTGTCTAGTATCAATACAGCAGACAGCTGTCAGTATGCATTAATTTAGTCAGCCAAATGTACATTCAACTGAACAGAGGTTCTCTGGAGCCCAAGAACTTCCCCCTTCCCATCTGATTTTCTGAGCAAGTAAAAAATCCTGTTTATACTCAACACCACATATGCCTCCTAGAAGCACTCACAAGTCATAAACACGTCCAGTCCTAAAGGATCTGTGTGGTCAGTGCATCCCATGAAGGGAGAAGCAGATGTACTTAAATAGTATACACTACCTGGAAAAAGGGCAAATGCCCAATTCCAGAGAATTCTGAAACTCATGAGAAAAGGAAGAGATGTCTTGCTATTACCTTTTAGCGCAGGTCATGGAACAAAACCTTTTGGAGCCACGGAACTGGGTAGCTGGGGCATACTTCCCACAGTATTCACACTTCAGCAAGTTTGCTTTCTTATCAAGCTCTAGTGAGACACAGAGATGCACACCATTTGATTATTTGAACTGAAACAAATCACATATAAAGATTCCTCATTCTGCTGCTCTTCTCAGAGCTGATTCCAAGCACTCTTTTGAAGCTACAAAGCAATTAGCTTGGGCAGAGGCAGAAGCTTCACTAATTAGGAGCCCAAGATATTGAACAGAGTTGTGCACTTCTGTCAGTATCTTTTCACTTAACAAGAAATAACATATCCCTCATACCCTATAAGTCTGCACAGGAATCTCCACCACTGCACTCTCTACTGGGTCCAAATACCCTTTACAACCTTAAGTCATCACAGTTCGGATTCTGCTTACTACTAACATGTGCTAGATTGTATTAAAAACAAGCAATATTTTCTGGCACTTGAGAAAAAGAGACCCTGGGTCTGTAGCTTGAGTCTCTAAGAAGTTAGCAGGAGGGCAGGAAGAAAGACAAGTCCATACTATATAAAGTAAATAATGAAGTATTATAAGAAATTTTCAGTACCGCTACCTGTGTGTTCTGGTGCTGAAACTCACCCATAGAAGCACTGTTCCCTCCTGGAGAATTGCTGGACAGGTTTTCACCCTGGCCAGGAGCCCCTCCCTGCAAAGGTTTCTCAGATTCTTTTAGCAGCTGAGAACAACCCACCTGGGCAGGAAGAGAAAGCATTGGGCCCATCAATAAAGGAGTCTCTGTGTCCACCATCCCCTTTCAAGGCATAAGTCCCTCACGCCTTATGACTCAAAAGAATCCCTCTGCCTAGTGAAGAAGATACTGAACAAAGTTATTACTCCTTCCTGACTCACAGATGTGAGAGCTCTTTCAACATGTACTGTCTTCCTTGAATAGCCTACCCATGTGACTTATCGCCCCTCATTTGCCTAAACTTGCTGCTTGTTCAAAATGCAATGCAGTGCATCCTTCCCTCACTAAAACCCAGGCAGAAGAACCTTCTTACAATTCCTAAAGAATGTATTGCTTTGGGAACTACTGGAGAAGACAGTTCCCATCACTCTTATATTACTCTCTCCAACCTGTTCTCTAGTAACAATTCTTGACACCTAGCTCCATGCATGAAAACAGCTTCCTTCGCCTTCCTCAATTCCGTGTTTTAAGCTAAAAAAGCTGATTTGGAGCACGGGGAAATATAGTCTGTTCATCTGTTGAAAAATGAATGCCTGCCACCCTTCCAAGAGATGTATTTCCCTCGCAGCAGTAAATTCTTACCGGAAAGGGCTCTGCTCCTTCCTGGATGACAAAGCCCTCTATTATGTGCGTGAGGATCTGGGGCTTAACAATGGCTTGTGGAGGCTTGGAGTCTCCTGTCTGACGTGACACCATTGCCAGGTTTGCAGTGGGAACAGAAGTCGAGGTGACTGATGTTCCTTCACTTGATGTGGCATTTGGGGTTGCAGTAGCAGCAGAATCAGATTTATCTGGAATGTTAACAGCCCAAGAGTCAGCATTACTATTGCTCAATCTACTTTACATGGAGTGTGAGATCAGATTATTAGCACACATAAGATGGAGCTCTACTTTGTACCTCACCTCCATGGCCATTATTTTCCTCCACATTTTTGGGGCTATCTGTCACAGGAGAGGACCTGGCAGGCATTAGTGCAGTGACACTGGCTGATACCTCCTTCTCCTCCTCTGACTCTGCCTTGCGCTTTATTGCTAAGCTCTGAGACTTGCTCTGCATGAACAAAGTAGAACACGTAAGCAAAGAGAAAAATCACAAAGCAGAAAACAACACAGATTGAAGGCAATGCAAAGATAGACCCTGGTCCATCGTACTTATCTCCAGTCTGGTTCCAACCCTGGAAATGCCTCCAGCTCCCTCAGAGTACATATCTTTATTTAGGAGTGTTTGTCCACAACAGAGCCAAACTTTCAAATGACTGGTCAGCCAAAGCCAAACTTCAAAAGACTCACTGTCAGACTACTGCGATTAAGATCTAGAATCCTAGTTGATATATTGAGATATACATATAATACCAAGACACTGTGAGAACATTGAGGTATTATTCCAGTAAGAAAGAAATGGAATGGCAGCCACTCAAAAGTTTCCAAATAAGCTTCTGACTACATCAGATCCTATCCAATGAAAATCTGTCAGATCAGTTGAGGAAAGATGTTGGATGACAGCAGAATCATCCCCCCAGTTCTAAAAATCAGACAAATCCAGTGGTAACTTCCTGAAGAAGCAGTCAGAGTTTAGAAACAAACTGGCACATTCTGTCCCTGACTGTACAAGTGAAGCCCCACTAAAAAGTACAGTCACAGTAACCATCTGAGAGTATCTAAGCTGGGAAAGTGTTGGTGTACCAAGGAGTTAGTCAGGTAGGTCCTAGTTGGACAATTCAGAGCAGCATGAGAGAGGCCTGTGGAACAGGAGCCATCTTTGTTTACCTCTGCATAGCCTGTTGCTAGGGAATCCTCTGAGGCCTAGAGCCAGCTCTACCTGCGTGGCTGAGACCACACATCAAGGTTTCTCTGACCTGGAGATATCCACACCTAGTAGGGAGAGGGAAGTTCAGTCTTCATGGCCCACACAGCCGCCTTCTCTCTCCTGAGAGAAACAATGAAGAGGCCAATTGTTGTTAAATAGGATATTTCGTATGTAATGTGGACACCTACCCTGTTTCAGTGAGGGTCCGAGTCTCCCCCATTTGTTTCATGCAAGTCTTTGAATGAATGATCATGTGAAAGAGAAATGCTTGTGCTCACTAACCCCAAGAGCTGGGCTGGAATTTGTGTTCTTGAAAGGTAAAGTCTCCATACATATTCCCTAATTCAAACTTCTTATTCCTCCCATCCCACTGACCCACAGCTAGAATACAATTAGCGTCCTTGGACTGAACGAAGAGAATCCATACGGTATTCTCTCTCTTGACTTACTGGCAACTGGAGAGACTGCATGTAGAATGCTGTTGGCATCTGAGCCACAACTGGAGAGGAGGTAGGATTCTTCACCATGTGGGTTGTACCTTGAACTTGTGCCAAATTCACCCCTGTAGTGAGAGGAGGAGTTTCCTGCGAGGATACTGGAGCTGAAGAAGGTGGGGAAGGAGCATGGGCTTGGGAAACAGATTGGACCACAGCTGGCATTCCCCGGGAAGTTGGTACTGCTGCAGCAATCTGAGCTATACCCAGTGCTTGGGCTTGGCCTGAGCCCTGCTGCCGAGTACCCACCACCTGCACAGGGATGTGTGGTGGAGGCTGCTGTGCTGCTGACATTTTGGCAGGCCCAAGCTGAGGTGGTTTGATGGTGACCATAGACTTTGACTGAATTGGAACAGGTGACTTGGTGGCTGGCTGGCTAGGACTGTCATGCTGGAGCTGAACAGACTGTGGCTGGGACTGTAACATAGGTTGCACCACAAGGGTCTGAGTCTGCTGCTGGTTTTGAGGTGGAGCCTGCTGCTGTGGAGGTTGAGCTTGCTGCTGCTGGGTCAGAGATGATGACTGTTGCTGTTGCTGGGCCAACTGGAGGTGGGTGGCTGTGTGGAGGAGCTGGGACTGGCGGTGCTGGAACTGCTGCTGGTGATGAATGGCAATCTGCTGCTGGATTACCACCTGTTTCTGCAGGTGGATCTGCTGCTGCTGCTGGATCAGTGAGTGTGGCTGAATCTGTGTATATGTAGCTATATACAAACACAGAACCAAACAAGAAGAGAGAATAAAGGTTACCAATAACACAGCTGGGAACAAGAAAAAGCAAGTAGCCACTGTACTGGTCTGATTCAGTAAAATGACTCCAAAATGACAGCTTATTGGTCGAAGACCGTGGGGACTGAATGGGCTGAGATCAACTTCTGTCATTAATAGAGCAGGATAATCCCAGGAGAACAGTCCTTGGGAGCACTGAAGCTGGAGGGCATGATGGGGAACCTTTCACTGCTGGACTTTCAAGTGGCATTCTCACAAAAGCCCAGGTAACTCAAAGAGAAGGAAGAGAGCACCGCTTACCTGAGCTAATCAATGTCTGGCTGGGTGCTGGTGTAGCTGTCCTGGTAAGGTTCATGCCCACAGTCTGCTGTCCACCACTGTCCGTTTCACCCTTCTTTGTGGCTGCGTTCTCTGACTCTGTTTGGCTTCCCTGGCTGACAGTCACTGCCTGGGCAGCTGCTACTGGTAATGGCTGAACCACTCCCGTTCCTTTCCGTTGGCAGCTGCCAGCAGCACCTGCAGAGGCTGTCTGGCTCAACGCTGTAGAATTCTGGCTCCCACTACTTGCAACCACACCCCCGGAGACACCATTACTGCCTGCTGCCCCTTGGCTCAAGTTGAGAGACTGGCCAATGCTGCCAGAAGAGGCTGGAGCCACTGCCACAGTCTGGCCTGTACTTGTGGCCTGTGGTAGGCCTGAAGCCTGGGAGTTTCCTGGCAGAGCCGCCTTCTGAGCAGAGCCTTGGAGCTGGGCATTAGTGGCTGAGGTCTGTTGGCTCCTCACAGCCAAGTTTTGAACCTAGAAACACATACAAAATACAGTCTGTTTGTTTTATGCATGTAACTTCCTAAAAGTCTAAGAACAGTAGAGAACAAGAGAATGCATAAGCAATAAACTCTACTGGGATGCAGGCTGATTTGATGCTTTAAGTCTCACACGCAGAGCTGGCCTACACTGCAGGATAAAGCTCTGCTGCAACTATTCCCAGAAAATACATAAACGTGAACTCCCTTTTGCTCCATCTCTGATGGAAGTTAAAGATCTCTGGCACTTTCTGAACACCGCTTAAGAACACCATCGTTCTCTCTGAGGCATGCAACAGCCTTCAGACCTGCCTCGCCCTTGCATTGCTAGGATCCACTTTCACATGGTTGTTAAAAGCGCTGATACTCCTTTAAAGACTAGTAATTCCTTTTCAACTTCTGTGCTGTTTGCTTCTTTTCCTATGCAGGGCTTTCCACTTACGATGCCTGCAGCTATTCTGCAGCCTTTCTCTATTTCCTCTGTATTTTGGCGTTGCCATCTTCTGTATTTACTCCCCCTCCACATGCAGTGTTATCTTCACGTCTGATCGAAACTAACTTGGCAGAAAAAAGTGGTTCAGACAAGATAAATATGAAGTTACTGGAAATCCCAAGCATGACTGGGTTAGGACCAGGAAAATGGGAAGCCACAGCAATCTGTAGAAACATTTGCAGGTGAATGCAGGAGATAAGAACTTGTGGCCTGTCCAGTCTTAGGCATTTTTACAACAAACCAACTGGGCAAAGGAATACTACTGCTGGCAAAGACTCTTTCATGCAAAGTGAATGTCCAACTGAAAAAAAAATGGACATAGATCTTAGCAATTTTTTTTTCACACAAGGATAATCGAGCAACTGTGAAGATGTGATTCAGGTTATGTCTCATCTCAGAAATTTTAAGCTGGAATGAATCCTGTTTCTGGAGGCAAAAAGCAAACATTGAGAAATGATGACAAGAGAACATGTCTTATCTGCACTAGTTACAGGGACACAGAATGGGGATAAAACAGAGCCAACCTTCTTTATAAGCATTGGTGGCCAGAGCAAAGGACCAGAGAGCAGGTGGCAGAGCGCAGGGGAAGAGAAGGACTCCAGGAAGGAGGTGTCACTGACCTGGTCTGTGTCTGCATGGACCCCAGGAGACTGGGTGGGTGGTACCTCCTGCTGGACAGCAGCCACGGCCCCATTAGGCATCAGGATGAGTTGGGAAGCAAGAGGGACATTGCGGCCCAAGGTCCGGTTTACCTGCAACAGGTTTCCCAGCTGCGGCTGTTGGGGGAAGGGTCAGGTGATGTGAAATGAAAGGAACGGAGGAGAATACAGAAAGAAAGACAGTGAACCACAAGCAGATTAGAGAGCAACAAAGGGCTGTAATGTTGCGCTTGGAAAAAATCCCAGCATTCCCTGCAATGTAACAGTAAATATAACCCTCAAGAATAGGAAAGTGGAAGCAATTTTCTTATGGAGACAAATAATCTGCCATTAAAAAAAGGGGCCTGAGTCAACTCCCACAGGCCGTCCAGGACTAGCTAGAAGACTTGCATGTAATTTAATTCCGAGGCGTATATCTGGGACTGGTTGACCAGCAGAGATAAAAGACATATCCAAGACTAGGGTTACTTGAAAAGGAGATTACAATCTTTATCTAATGCCAACAAAAAAGAAAAAACATATTTTCCAAGTAAGTAATCAAACCTGAGATTGATAATAGTGAAGTCTAATGTTTTTTATATAGCAGCACTTCAAACTGATTAAAAAGATTATTTGTTCATATTGATTTATGTTTCTACAAGTGCTTGAATCTTGGCTTGTGTCCCTGTGTGGAGTAGCTGAAGGGAGTAATTTACTATCTATCTGTTCCAACAGTGAACAAGTAGTTTTATTTTTGTGAACCATAGTCAAGTCTAGTAAACATATTTCACACTTGTACTCCAGTGAGAAGTGCCATGGGATCTTTAACATCTATGCAGAGCAGAGACAAATATGGTTCTTAAGTATCTCAGTATACAATACAAAATTCATCTTAAGCTGAGCCCAGAGTCAAACTGTGACAAGACCTTTCCCATCTGAATTCAGAACACAACACTCTTAAATTTTGAGTTAGTTAAATCTGGAATTAGCCCAGAAGTGTTGGTAGCTCCAAAAACTGAAACAAGAGTGTCTAGGAAGACACGGTTTATACACAGGACAAGTTGTGTGTACATATCTCTTACCCGGAGATACATCTGTGCCTGTGACTGGTTGAGAGGTGGTGAAGTGGTGTTCCCAAGGAGCACAGACTGCGTTAGAGTTGTGGCAGTGGGAGAACTCACGCTCTGCGAACGACTGATCAGCTGAGCAGCTGATGTGGTGGCTAGGTTGATCTTAAAACAGAGAAAAGTCCCAAATCATACAGGAAGGATGGGGGCAAAAGAAATAAGAACAAATCCACTTACTGGGGCGTAGAAGCAATATTTCACAGATTCTCCCTGTATCATGCAGGGGACCAAGAAGAAAGAAATTCTTGCCTTAATGGGTTATGCAATCTAAATTAGCCAACCCTGAATGCTAAACTCATTTGTAAGCTAAGCCCAGGTATCTCTGATAGTTTGTAACTTCAATAAAAGATCTAAAAATACATTTTCTCCAGCCTCTCAAGTAAAGGAAAAATAAAATCAAACCAGCAAAAACAAAGTAATCTACCTTACCAACTCACCTATTCCCTGAACAAATCGCAGCTTCCCAATATGCACTACAAAATCATACTTCCACTCATTCAATGAGCTCTGCCAAAGAATAGTCCCTTTCAAACTGCTCAAAACTCCTCCTTCTAAGAAGTCCTGATACTCTTCTAAACCATGACAACATATCCCCAAAGCCTCAGGAAAAAGAGATCAGTGACTACCTTTCCAGCTAAGAGGCCTCTCCCACTCAGAAACCTTCTCTGGGCTCCTCAACCCCCACCAATTATGACAGCACCCCAAGTCCTCAAAGTTGTCTGTATCTTGTGGACTCCCAGCATTCTTAGAAGCTGTGTTTCCCTGGCTGACTGCCTTCCTAAAAGACAAAGAGGAGAAAGAACAAGGGCAGAGGAGAGTAGGGGGCAGAGAAAGGCTTTGATATGTGATAACTTACAGAGGCTTGGGTGGTGGTAGTCTGTTGTGGGGTGCTGGTGTTTGGTGAGCTGGCCTGTCTACTAGCTGCAATAGTAGCCTGTAAGAAAGATTGACAGAAAAGAGTACTTGAAAGAAAGGTCCAAATATTTGGTTTCATATAAACACCGAGTCTCATCATCAGCATCTTCTCCCATTTTCAAGAACTGGAGCACAGTCGAACTACTACAAACACCTCAACAAATCAAGTGCAACTCAGCAAGGCACCTCCTTTTCATCAAACCATTTCAGTCCTGTACAATACATGCAATGGAAATAAACACTGAAAGTGCATGACCTTCATTCCTCCACAATTAAGTACATATCCTGTTGTTGCCTCAGTTTGTCATGCTACATGCTGCAACTCTGATGATGCTCCAGTCCACTGTTAACACCCAGATAGTCCCTGCCAATATTAGCAATTTGCTGGGCTAGTCATGCAAGTTATTAACAATACAATGGTAGCACTGCAAGTAACAAATTTCAAATTGAGGTACGTATGGTTAGTGGAGGAAGGTAAATAGTGTTCAATGCTTTTTTCCTTTCCTATGTGATCCCACAACAAGTATACTATATGTGTCTAGTTGGTTTTACAGGAAAGTTTAGTATGATACTCGCGATACTCTATTCACTCCATGCTATAGAACTACAGGTAGGGATTTGAAAACAATTAAATCTTGGACTAACAGCCAAGAAGCAAAGCTACTGAGAGGGACAGACCTGTACTGTCACATCACATTTAATTTACCTTCAACTGACAAAGACTGACAGGTGAGCAAAGTTGCTAAATAAAAATACCTGCTCAACAATTAAGCATCATACATCATCTCAATAAGCAAAATTCAATTAAGGAAACACCCTTATTGATAGATAAGATCTACCCCTTTCTAGGAACTTTCTTTCTAGTAACTAGTAAAGAAAACAGAATAGTTTCAAAATAAAAATTCAGAGGACCTCACATTAAATTTCACATACAGAAAACTACAGTTATTGTTAGAGAAATAGCCATCCACAGTTCACTTGAAGATTGTTTTAAAACATTCCCTGGTGATTTAACCACCTATCTTTTATTTCAAGGAGGTGGAATGGCAAGTCACATGCCTCCAAAGTGCAAGTTCCCATTTGGTGAGGCGAATTTTTTTGCTGAAAAGCAAACAAACCTTTCATCAACCCTCACAGTTTACTAGCTGTTTGTATTAACCCCAAACAACGTGTTCAGGGAATCACAGATAAGGACCTCAGTGTACAAGCAGAGAATCTCCACATCTTCCTCAGATCCAGTGCAACTCACCTGCTGGACAGCAGCCAAGCTGTGAAGCTGGGCACTGTTAAGCTGTTGCTGGAGCATAAACTGATGAAAGTACTGGGCTGCATTGGGCTGTCTCTGGAGTGCCTGAAGAGCCTGAAGAAAGAGTAAAACCCAATTGTGAAAAATAGCATGTCCTTGAAACATGATTAGAGAGATAAATGAAGAAATAAGTAACAGCCTTGAGACAATCTCTAGTCCCCGTGAAAAAAGCAAGGCCACCACATTAGAACACCAAAATAAGTATTAAAGCTACAAAATTGATAAAGACTGAATCACAGGTATATTCTAAGATAGCAAAAAGCACATTCGCAAAATTTTAATAAGCTCCAGGAATCTGGCAGTGTTCATGGTTCAGCAGGCAGACAAGTGCTCCAGTACAGCATGAATATGTAAGATAAAGCACACATGTCCAACCCATTGCTGCATGTAGCCCAGCACAGTCTGCAACGCAGTCCACCCCGTGCTACAAAAGCGGTGTCCCCACAGAGTGGTCCCAGACACGCACTCAACATTTAGCAATGGCTAAGCACTATTAACACTGTGTCAACTGAAGCTGAGACGTGGGGAGGGCAGTGCTGTGCATTGCACACTGCTGACTCACGTGATGGCAAATAATTGTATGTTGCTGTCTGATGTGGAAGTGTGTATGAAGAAATGGTGTGGAACTGAATTCAATTTGGAAAAAATTGCACCCACTGACATTCACCAATGCTTGCTGAACAATTATGGACACCAAACAGTGGATGTTAGCACAGAGAGGCGGCAGGTGGTGTGTTTCAGCAGCAGTGACAGTGGGTCCCTTCAGCTGAAGAATATAATATATATATTATATTAATATATATATATATAATATATATATATATTATATTCTTCAGCTGAAGGGAATATATATATATATATATATTTTATGAGTGCAGCATGCAGGCTCACATCATCACTGGCAAAAAAAAAAAAAACATTGCTACTGGTAGTGATTATGTTGAAAAATAGTGTTCTGTAGCTGAGAATTTATTCCATCAAACAGTATTATTGTGCTTTTTGTAACTGTTGTTGTTTCTATGAAAATAAATAGGAGGCATTACTTTCAAAGCAACTTATGCACATGTGGCCCAAGACAAATCCTATTCACTCAGTGGGTCCGAGGCAAGCCAAAAGGTTGGACACTCGTGGGGTAAAGTCTGTATAGAGAAAATAGTGTGACAAGCTGAGCAACTTGCTCTAGAATAATGGAGCTAAAATGAGTCTATTGGATCACAGCAGATTAAATCTAAGAGGCCAGCGGAGTAACTTATAAAACAATGAAGTAAAAGTCAGGCCTAGCACAAAAAATCCTAAATCCAGAAACAAGACACCCCTTCAAGGTCCCACCCTGACACGACGACTCAGGTACATACAAAAGGGCTCACCACCCTTTCACTGAAGCACGTTTATTCCTAGCACATAGTAGCACCTCACCTGAACAGCCTGCCGCTCATACAGAGACATCTGTGATATCTGAGGACGGGTGCTTCCCCCAGAGCTGGAGCTCCCACTGGTGGAGCCGGAGTTCTGCTCACTCTCAGTCTCCATGGTGACAGAATCCCAAGAGCTTGGCTGAGATTGACACCGGCTCTAAATTGAGAGAATTGGGAACTATGTCAGGTTATAGAAGGAGCCAAACTGTAGCGCATTGTGTTACACAGTCTTTTTACTTGAATATCCCAGTACCAGGCTTCTTCCACAACTTTGATACATCACAAAGATAAAGGGATGCCAGAGGCTGAAATAATCCAGAAATTATGCTCACAGTTTCTATCTTTCATTACCAGTATGAAATGTAATACACACATTCTTATATTTTTATTGACATGCTGCAATTGGAAGCTACAGCATACTGAATTCTTAAACAGGTAGCAGAGTGAAGTAGCAGCTGCAGGTCATTTAGAAACAATTTGGTTACAGACCTGCTTACTTCTACCTCAAGTCCAGGGAACTGAGGAAAATCAACAGTGCTTCTAGTCTGCCACTGCAGTTTTGCAACTTCTTATCATCTCTTCCTCTAGTCTCACAAGAGGTTCCATTATCCTACAACTCTGCTGCCCTGCAGATAATTTCTTTTCCCAGTTTAGTCCCCTTGTTTCCTTCTTTTCTGAACACATGCATTTCCAGCTACTCATTGTTCCTTACAGATCATAACTCGAATATTCATTTGGAAGCTGGTATCTAGAGTGGTGAGTTGCTTTAGTATGGATGGAGTCACAAGCAGAGTAGATGAAGGGATCACTAGCCATGCTTATGAGATGAAAACTGCTGAAGGAGTCATGCAGAGACAGATTTTCCAGCAGCAGAAAGAGGAGCTGCAGTGGCCTGCAGGATTGAGAAAAGCCTGAAGATGGCATTCATCAGCCAAGAGGAAGAGAAGTGACTGAAAAAAAAAGTACTTAGAAGAAAAGTAATACATGGAAATGATCGCAGGGTTTTCTTGTATCAAGAAGCATACACTATATAGGAAGATGGGAGGCATGGGGGGGCCACAGAAGTCAGAAAAAGGAAGACAAAAGTGATAAACTGGGAACAGAATTCTGGAAAAAAAAAAATCTTTTAGAAGGATATCATTTGTATAAGATCAAAAAAAAATGATAGTCTCTGATAGTTTTTTATAGTCTCTGTATTACTGACTAAACCACCAGCTGGCTCCCCAACAGCTTACCTCTGAGACCTCTAAATAAGATCCCTAGGCTTCCAGGATCCCACAACACCAGCACAGCCCCTGTATCTACACCTCTTTAATACCAAACATTTCAAGCTTTTTAGCATTCATCAAACTCAACTTTTTCCAGGTCAGTAAGCAAAGCATAAAAGGAGGTGAAACAATATTCTCCATCAGTTTTTAAATTCCAGAATGGTGTTAGGAGCACCGTTAGGAGCAGATACCTTTAAAGAAAAACAATAGCACTGACAGTACTGAGAATGACTGACAAAATCAGGGGAACTGCTGCACCAGACCAGCTCCTTGAAATCTGTAAAATTCTCTAATTGACCAGCATGTTGATGTTGCTTCAATCCTGGCACCCCGTGCATCTTCACCTCTGCCCTCAAGTACTGCCTAGGTGTCTCCCTGCTAATCCAACACTAGCCTCCTGTATCTGCTTCAGTAGTGACCACAGCAACCAACTCGACCACGCAGGCATCCTCTTCTCAACTCAAACACTCTCCTAGCTGGCCACTACTGTCCTCATCCACAACTCTGCAACAGATAGAAAGAGTTGGTCAATAAGCCTACCTAGAAGATAAAAGCTCCGGAGGAGACAACTGAAAAGTGAGAAACTGAGGAGAAAGAATACAGACATTTTCAAAGGACTGTGGGACAAAGAAGTAGTACATAGGACAAATGTGACAATCAAAGTGAAACTGTACACATTATAGTGCAACTAAAAGCATCACAGAATGGCTTGGCTTGGAAGGGACCTTATCTTATAGATCATTTAGTTCCAATCTCCCACCCCTCCCCCCCCCTTCTGCTGTGATCTTGGTTGCTAACCAGTAGATCAAGCTGTGAGTGGCTCACAACTGCCCACAGCAGGAGCCTTGGAACTAGGTGATCTCTGAAGTCTCCTCCAAACTAAGCCATTCTATTGATAGATAAGGTTGCCCACTGCCCCATCCAACCTGGCTCTGAAGCTTCAGAGATGGGGCACCCACAACTTCTCTGAGCAATCTGTTGCAGTGCCTCACCACCCTCTGAAAAAAAAAAAAAAAAAAAAAAAAAAATTCTCCTAACATCTAATCAAAGTCTCCTTTTAGTTTAAAGTTATTCTCCCTTGTCCTATCACCATCTGAGTGTACAAAAAGTTGCCCCCCTTCCTGCTTATAAGCTTTTCTCAAGTAATGGAAGGCCACAATGAGGTCTCCCCAGAGCCTTCTCTTCTCAAGACTGAACAAGCCCAACACCTTCAAGCCTTTCTTCATGAGACAGGTGCACAAGTCTGCGTATCACCTTTGTGGCCCTCCTCTGGACATACCCCAACTGCCTTGCATCTTTCTTGTGCTGAAGGCCCCAGGCCAGGATGCGTTACTGCAGGTGGGGCCTCACATGGGCAGAGCAAACTGACACAATCACGCTCCTTGTCCTGTTGGCCACCCTCTTTCAGTGCACACCAGGATACAGTTGGCCTTCCAGGCTGCAAGCACACACTTCTGGCTCATGTCCAACTTTTCATTCATCATGACCACCAAGTCCTTCTCCATAGGAGACACTGTTCTCTTGCCCACTCTCAATCTGCCCTCACAGGTTCCTCCCAGCATTTACTTCACTTCTGATGCTCACTAGATCTTCCCATCAGTTGACACAACTTGTTAACTTTGGGGAAAAAAAAAAAAAAAAAAAAAAACACTTTAAATGTAAGCTTTGGCTAGATCAGTGAGTTGAAGTAGCTCAGTTGTGACCCTACAGCTGTCAATCATGTGTGGAAGAGAAAGTAACTAAATAAGACGTTGGTTCAGCCTAGCTGTAGCACACGGCCTTACTCTCAAAAGCTGCACTAGAAAGAAAAACCTAGCTTCAAACCTGGTGCTCCATTCCATCAGCTCATGCTTCCTCATATACAACATCATCAATCTGCAAGATTTCACACATTTTTGAGATTCACACTGATCTAGATCTACAGATAATCAAGACCTGGCAGAAGGAGAATCCTGACACACTAGAACCTCTGGAAAGAAGGTTCTGTAGGAAAAAGGCCTTTGGAGGCATAGCTAGAGAAGCATGCTCTCCCTTTGCAGAAGGGAGGTAAGAATTTAATGAACAGGACTGGCCAACAAACACAAACCTTTCCAAACACAAAAATGAAGAGCTAAGTTCCACTTCAAGCAGGCAAGTACATCTAGGGAGGCAACCCCACGTTACCATAATCCAATTCAGACACAGGCTATTTCCACACAAAATAGCCCAGACTTCACCCTCTTCCCTCTCCACACACATCTTCCAGACACGTTCCTCTTTATTTTATGTCAGTCTAGTGATCACTGAGCTATTAGATGACTCAACTATCTGCTCCATGAGATTAATAATCTACCAAAAATTATTAAATGATACTCCAAACAGTCATGCAAACCATTATACAAGCATAACTGATAGATCCCAAGAAAATTAAAAAAAGAATAAAAAAAGAAAAAAAAAAGAAGGCAGTGAAAATGTGGCCTCACTGGAAATTAACCTTGAAACAACAACTAGGTAGCTAAATTATATCATACTTAGCACAGAACTGCACTCTGAAAGGCAGGAAAGGAAGAATACAAAGACCTATTAACACCATGACAAGAACGACAACACAGCAGAGAGGAAGGTGAAAGAAAGGCACAGAACTAATTTATAGAACAAGGCAAGCAAACATGAGAATACGAGCCAGCCTAGAGTCTAACCTGCAATGCTGATAACAGCACACAAGACAAACAGAGGTGGCCTGTCTACAGGCCTCTGGACCTTCTCAAGTGCAGCAGATTAGAGCAAGCATCTACTCTAGCTACTGAACACATCAGGTTTAGAAAAATTTTACTTGCTTTCCCCATCCTGGCACACAGGTGTTACCTGCAGAACATCTCCTAATCTTACAATTGGCTTTGTAATCTCATCCTTGGGAGACTAAGTTAACCAACAAGACTTGTGCAGATTTGACCAGAAGATAAGGACAGTCCAGCCAACCACCCAGACATTCCTCCTCACAGTTACCAGCAGCACATTCTGTGAACTATTCAGGCAGAGAGAGGAAACCGTAGGGACCCGTAACTTGGTTTCCAGATGTTCCGGCAGCAGCGGGTGCAACAGTAAAGCACTGTGAGCACCTCGCCCCGCAGCCCACCCGCCCAGTTCCCCACCAAGGCTGAGGGGGGCACGAGCGCAGCCATAGTCCCCGCATGGCTCGCAGCCCAGGGAGCGAAGTTCGGCGAGTGCGAGTTGCATCCAACAGAGGGTGGGCTCAGCGCCCAATACAGAGCGGCCGTACGCTGCCTGCAGACACTTCCATCGCAACACATAGATACAATACGACATAGACTCGCCGGGAGGGAAGAGGGGAGAAAGGGAAAGAAAGCGAGGGAGGGAAGGATGGGGGAACCCGCCGCAGGATGCTGGCGAAGGAGGACAGGGGACGAGGCGCGACTGCGACCCCATCCCTGCGAAGGAAGGGGAGGCGAGGCCGGCAGCTGCCGGGCAGGCGGGAGCGCCGCTACGAGACGAAGTTACTGCCGACCACCGCTCCAGTTGCTCGGCGTAGGACAGACAATGGCCGCTCCGCAGGCGCTGTCAACTTGCGGCGCACCCTCGCCGGCCCCGAGGAATAAGCCGCGGCCGCCCGGGCCCCGGGCCCAGCCTCACCTGCAGTCGCCGCTCCCGCGCCGGCGTTAGCCCCGCGCCACCCTGTGAGGGCCCGGCGCCACCGAAGTCCCACGCCGCCTCCGCCGCCTGACACGCCCCCGTGCGCGGACAGCCAGGCCGGGCCAGGCCGGGCCGGGCGGGGCGGGGCACGAGTGCCGTTGTTCAGGGAGGGCGGGACGGGGGCGTTACCTCGAGGCGGCTCCAGGCAGCCGCGGCCCAGCCCGTCCCGGCGGTGCAGCCTCGGCGCACTGCGCGGCCGTTGTGGGTTGGCGGAACAGAACGGTGGGGCGGGGATGGTAAATGCTCCGCGCGCTCCTACCACGCCTGTCCCGCCTTTTTTCTTTCTTTTTTTTTTTTTTTAATACTGTTGGCCTCCGGGGCACCCAAGCGCTCGTCACTTCCTCTCTTGAGGCGCTTCCGGGCACACGATCTCTTCCCGAGCGCCGCTTTCTGTTGCCCGGGCGACGGCAGCTGCAGCCTGGTGGCGGCGTTTGGGAACCTTGTATGAGAGCTGTCTTTCCGGCAGTGCTCGCCTGTGGTTCCCGCCTCTGCGCCCCGCCAGGCCCCAGCAATCAGAGCGGGTGAGGGGCACGCGTCGCTGTCCTGTATTCTCTACCAGCGCTGGGGAGAGAACCAATGGACCGATAGCTCTAGCTTTATAACCAGCAGAACTGAACTTTGCAGGGCAGGTGCAGCACTCAGCTTAAAGAGTGTACTCTCTGTTGAGAAAATTTGCAATCAGCTCTTCCGGAGAATGGTTAATCTTACTAAACATCAGCAATTTTATGTAGGTAAAACATTTATCTTGATACTTAGGAAAACACTGATGAATGACCATGATGCAGCAGAAAGAGCTGTGCCTGGTGAACTGAAGAAGTCGATGCAAAAAGATTTAACAGCAAAAGTTTTATTACAGTTAAGCAAGTATTCTTACTGACGGTGCTGGTTACATGGAGGTGCTCCTCCAATTGTGCATAGCTTACACAAAAGATCTTCTGTTTATACACATAACTGGTGTTATATATGCAGAAATTTTCCAAGAGATAAGTTACATATGCAGAAGTTTCTAGGAGTTATGTCACATTTTTTTGTTACAGGTTTTCCCAGAAGTATGTTGCATATTCTGATTCTGAGTGACTGATTCTAAGCTGTACCTCCTATTTACTTAGTACAAAGACTCAGCAGAGCTTCCTTGATTCAGAGGCAGGTTCTTTCTGTTATTTAAACAAACTGCAGAACAGGGGTATCTATCAGTGAACACTAGCAAGCTTAATTATATTGTTATAACTTGTATCATGTTAAAGGAGGACGGTCTTACAACAAGTCTCCCCATTTATAATGCTACCTCCCTCACAAATGTCATCCGTAACATCTAAAGGCTACTATGGTGCTTCAGGCAAGTATTATTCATGTTATACAACAATTCACCAGCTATGCTTATAAGGATATATTAAGAGAACATTTTATTTTGTGTAATTCTTGAAATCACTGGAGTGTTCTCCGCCTGGATTCAGGTGCACAGCAGAAATCTGCATGAAGTGCGTTAAGAAAGTGCCAGAGCTGAACTACCACATTTAGAAATAAGAAGAGAAGCTATCTGCATGAGCACGTCAGCCTTGCCTTGATTGGTTCTGCTGAACATCACTTACGTCAGTTACCCAGCTTAGGGAACTAAGTTAAAGTTTGAGCTTGGTGTTGGTGATATCCTTAACTGAACAATACTTATTTTCACAAAACTAGCTTTTGCTAAGCGAAACTTGCCTTAATGGTCTGATGCTAAGCAAAACACATTTGCATAACATCCTTTACCTACTCAAGGAGCCCAGTATATCACTGTTATCTAGGTCGGTGTGGATGCCCTCTCCAGTACATCACTCCACAAGAACTCTTCCTATCATCTAAGTGATAAAGAGTTGCTCATTGTTGCAAACGAGCTATGGAAAACTTCCAACTTGGAAAAACAAGAGGAATGCGGTCATGAAGACTGCTAAATTCATTCCCCGAGGGTCTTGAGACTACCAACCAAAATCACTGAGCATATGTAAAGAGACAGGAGCCAATGTTAATGATTTTAGGGGGGAGTATTGAATATGCATATACTGCCAGGGAAAACCGGGCACATGTGCATATGTAACACAAGTACTGAATATAAGCTGAAGATCTTTTGAAAAAGCAGAACATGCGCGGTTAGGGCGGAAAAATCCCCTGGCACATTGGACGTCGTAAACGAAGAATGTCTGCTTACTAACACCACGTCGGAGTCGTCGGAGTTAGTGAATTTATTCCCGGATTTCAGATGACGTTGGAAAGAAGACTTGACCGGATTCAGTAATATAATTTCACAGGAGATGACTTAGGATCAGTAACATTTGCTGCTGCTTGAAAAACTGAAAAACACCATACAACGAGATGTTTGGGCTCCAAATGCTTGGTTTTGTTTTGCTTTAAATTCAGATGGAAAAGTGTTCGGCTGTTTCTCTCTCTCTCTCTCTCTCTTTTTTTTTTTTTTTTTTTTTTTTTTTTTTTTTTTTTTTTTTTAAGTCTGAGAGTGATCAAAGGAACGAAGACAAGGAGGCTGGAAACCCAGCCGACTTAATCCCTGTGAATAAACCTCTTCTACAACCCTTAATGGCTGCATGAATGACTAAGCTATTTGTCCCCGCTGCAAAATTCACTAAACTCATTCTGGAATCCATGCAAACAAAGGGAAATAGTAAAGAGGCATCAGGACTTAGTATGACTGAGCAGGAGGATTTTAGGATGCAAGAGAACTTGAGTATTTGCAGGACTATAGCTTGGGGTAATAATCACAGAAAGGGAAATGATATCAAGACGCATCAAAGATGAACAAATATGAAAAATGAGAAGGCTAAACTAATCTGCTAATGTGAGAAGGTTCTTGTCAATGTACTTATTGTACTTATGTACTCAATGTACTTATGCAGGCAAGTTTTGCACCTGATCACCAGTCTGTACTGTATTCTTAATAAACTATTTCAATTCTGTCTGATTGTGTTCAGTTGCGTGCACAGGAGACACACTAACAAACTTCAAAGTCTTTCTAGTTAGCAAGTAGGATGAGTGCTTTGGGAGCCAAAAATTCAAGAGAGAACTAAGGCCTGCCCTTAGAAACAGGCTACTCATGCTTTGTTTATATGAGTATCTTTAAAGTACTGTATCCTGTTTGTCTCAGGCAGTATTTGTATATGTACTGTGAATTTGACGACCCTGCTACTAATGGGAATTGAAATGGGTGAGAAGCTCCTGCTCAGATCCATTGGCCCAGGAGCAAAAGGAATCTTTGAATCTTTCAGTCCACCAGATTCATCTACACTTAATACTTTATAGGGACAGCAGGTTCACCTGGCCAATATCTGTGATCTATTTCCGTTGTTCTATTCCCTCATCGAAGCATGGGACCTTAAGGAACACACTGCTACTACCTGTCCCCTTTTTTATCTTTATAAACTGGCTTTCCATTAGTTTGTCTACAGGCATTGTGAATCTGTTGATACCTGCTCCTAAAACTCTCATAGCAGCAGGTTCTTGTGGTTTTTTTATTTGCTTGTTTGTTTTTTTATTCTTTTCTTTTCAAATGAGTCCCTACCATATTACGTGTCCTCAATTCTATCTTGGGTAGAACTAAAGAAAGCAGTCCTTTGTTACAGGACAATTTTCCTTTTGCTCTATCTACTTCCTTTGTTACTTTTGTAAATCTCAGCTCCTCGACTGCTCTCTAAATTGCTCAGCAAGTGGTAGAAATTCAACCTTTCTAACATCTCCTCATGAAGCATTTATTCCATCCTGTAATCATTTTCAGTAGGTCTCAAGCCATACTTCATAAAACTGTCTGGAAATCTTTCTAACACTATGCTTGAATGTAATCCAGAACTCATTTCATCAATAGCTCACATTCAATCACTTGCTCACATTTTAGGTGCAGACTTTCCCAGCTCCAGGCTTTTCGGGAAGTTACGATATTCCGACGTTTTTCAGCAAAGAAACTTTGTTAAAGAAACTAAAGCTTGCAGGGAAGGCTAGAGAGTGCTAGTGACACTTAGCGGTTCTACAGGAAAAGTGCACTTTTTCAAGTTCGTTTTCTGAAGCTGCTAGGTAAGCAGTGACTGCAAATGAACCTCATTCACAGATAAGTAAGCAGTGCTGCTTAACTTAAGAATCAGTACAAACTATGCTGTACATGTTCATATAGTACAAACGTACAAATGCGTATCTCATTCACTTTCTTTCCCTTACCCATGCTCATTTACTTACTTCAGGCTGGTAGTGATATAATCAACATCACATACACAGGTGGAAAATTCTTTCTCTTGTGATGAGGAAGTCTGGATTTTTCATGCACCCTTCCAAGGAACATGACAGCTTGTAATGGCAGTTAGCCTCAGCCATCAAGAGTTAATCCCGAAAGCAACACCATGGCGAATGCATGGGGAGCCAGAATTCTGAAGAAGACTGACCTTTGAGCCTAGGATTTCTTCTTATAAAACATGGCTTACATGCGGGAATCATAGTGTCTGGCCAATCAGCTCACTACAAGACTTTTCACATTTACTCAACACTTTAAAGGTGAACTTAAGGAACAACTGAATTCATCCTCCTATACAGGGCTGTTGGTGTTTAAGGAAGACAGTTCGACAGTTCCAGATAACACTCCTTCCTACAAGATGTGGCCTGAATGTCAGCCATTTTCTATAATATTCTCTTCTGAAAAAATGCAAGTAAGTTTCTGAGGAAGCTGAGGTAACTGTCTCTTTATTACAAAGCAGGCTTTCTGCAAGCCATTTGGTCCTATTTCTGAGAAGAAACTCATATGACTGTTCTGTTTTATAGGTCTTCCTCTGACCTTTTTAGCCCTGCATTTCTTATAAGTCTTTATAAGCCACCATTCCTCTATTCCTTGCCCTATATTTTATTTCCTGCATAACTGATCCTGTTAAGAATCTGCATCCTACCATAACTAGGGCTGTCCTTGTATGCAAGCAGAGATACTAGAGAGGCTGCAACTGCAAATCCCTTCATCCTTGTTTCCCGTTCTACAAAAGAAGGCAGGTCAATGTGTGCCAATTCACCTTTCTATTCCCCACATTAACTGGGACG